AGGTCAGGTGGAGAATGCTGCATCTGATGATCTACCGGGTGGGGTTATAGAGTCTTGGGTAGCTAGGCGGGGGTATTGGACAAATTGTGAGTAGATATTCTGCAGTGTTCTATGTTCTTATGTGGGATAGCGATGAAGAAGTTTCTTGGCGAGTGGTTTAGCTGTTATAGAAGCCATTGTTCTGGTTGAAATTGTTGGCTTTACGTGTTTCTCTTTCGAAAATCATCTCTTTCAGCAGACTTTTGGACTACCCATGGGTTCGCCACTCAGTGCAGTCCTGGCGAACCTATACATGGAACATCTAGAAGCCGAACGTTTCTCCACCATTATTCCTTCGTCTGTCACCTGGCTCCGTTATGTTGACGACATTCTCCTCATAACTCCTAAACGCTTCAACGTTCAAGCTCTCCAAGACAAGCTCAACCAGGTCGAGCCTTCAATCCAGTTCACACTTGAAGAAGAAGTCGACAACACTCTTCCTTTCCTTGATGTTCTGCTCTGCAAAGCTGACCACGAACTTCGTTTTAAAGTCTATCGAAAACCCACCAACCAAAACGATCTTCTCCACTTCTACTCTCACCACGACACCAAAACCAAACGTGGTGTAATTATAGGCTTCTTCCTGCGTGCACTCAGAATCTGCAGCAACGAGTTCCTTGAGGAAGAATGCACTATAATTGAACAAGTATTTTCTAAACTCCACTATCCTCGCCACTTCATCAGAGACTGCAGACGGCGAGCATTAAACATCTTGAGTGGTGACGTGTACTTAGTCAGTGGTGACGTGTACTTAGCTCTGTGAAGACCTGTTTGTGTGCTCTTGAGTGGTGACCTGTACTTTGAGTGCTGACCTGTACTTAACTCTGTGAAGAAGTGTCTTGTTTGCTCCCGTGGACTGAACCAAGATGCCCTCCATCGAGCAACTTTACCAGCAACTTAAGGAAGAATTGAGGGCAGCGAAGATGGAAATACGGCGACTGACCGAAGAAAACAAGAGGATTCGTAGTAGTCCTCCTGTTTCGAGTCCTCAGGTCAAGAAGGGATCGTGGTCAGTGGTTGGACAGCAGGGGACGATGAAGTTGACGATCAAGAAGACGAATGGAAAGCCAGAAACGATGAAGAAGAAGAGACTGCTGTGGAAACTCCCGTGGAAACCTCCAACGCATTCTCGGTGCTACCCGACGAATGTGAGTTTACTACTGGGATCGTCACGACGAACGACAACAAGGAAGGTAAGAATATTGTTGTTGTTGGGGATAGCCAGGTTAGATACATGGATAGGGCATTCTGCTTGAAGGACAGGAGTAGGAGACAAAGGGTATGCTTTCCTGGGCTGGGATGGAGGACATTGTTAGCCGGCTTGACAACATCATGAACGGTAATGGGATCAATCCTATTATTTGCCTCAGTGCTGGAGGCAATATGTTGGCAAGCGTAGAAGTGAGGATTTAGTTAGAAAGTTCAGGACAGCTATAGACATGATTAGGAAGAAGGGGGGGCGCCCTGTTTATGTGGCATTTTGCCAAGAAGAGGTGTTGGTAATGAAATGGTTGTCCAGAGCAATTGGTATTAATTGTTGGCTGGATAAACACTGTAAGGATAATGCAGTACCATTCATTGACAACTGGGACAACTTCTATGGCCGAAATGACATGTATGCCAGGGATGGGGTTCACTTATCCAGGGCAGGTGTGGGTTTTCTTGCTAACTCAGTTGAGGGGGTTGTTAGGACTTTAAACTAGGATTAGTTAGAGGTATGGGTTTTTGCAGGAAAACTGTGAAGTCGCAGGGTAGTAATATGAGTACTAGGAGAACTAGTAATAGGCAAAATGAGGTGGATATTGGAAAGCCAGTGGCACTAATTGACAAGGACAGTAATAGGTTTAGTGGAATAATAGAAAAAAGCAGGAAGGGTAAAGAGAGAGGAGGGTCATTAAAAGTTTATTACACAAATAGTCGCAGTGCTAGGAATAAGATGGGCGAGTTGAGACTAGTTGCTAGTGCAGGTAACATAGATGTATTTGCCATTACTGAGACGTGGTTTTAATTCAAAAAAATCGGGGCATGCCTGCAGAATGTCACATTTAGGGTTTTAAATTGTTCCAAGTAGATAGAAGTATCGGGAAGGGGGGTGGGGTGGCATTGTATGTCCGAGATCGCTTGAACTGTTGCATAAAAACGGGTATTAAGTCTGAAGTAACACATACAGAGTCTGTTTGGATAGAATTTTCAGAGGGGGATGAAAAATTAATTTTAGGTGTGATATACCGTCCCCCAAATTTAGATAGGGACCAAGGGAGACTACTATGGGAGGAAATTGTTAGGGCCACAAGGCACAATAATGTAGTAATTCTAGGAGACTTTAACTTTAGTCATATTGATTGGAATTTCTTGACTGGGAATTTAGAATCATACGATTTCTTAGAATGGTTCAGATTGTTTTTTGAAGCAGTTTGTGACAGAACCTACAAGGGGAAATAACCTGCTTGACTTAGTTCTGGCAAACAATGAATCCCTTGTTAATAATTTAGAAGTTTCAGAGGAACTGGGTGCTAGCGACCACAAATCAATTACATTTAGAATTGAATGGAAGTATGATAGTAGGGATAACTCAGTAACAGTCCAGATTTTCGCTTAGCAGATTACGATGGGCTTAGAGAACACTTATCATCTGTTGACTGGGGTAACGAAGAGAGCTATCAATATGACAGTTTTCTGAACACAATACATGCTGCTCAAAGAACGTTTATCCCTTATAAGGAAATTAGATCAAATAGAAATGACCCTAAATGGATGAATAATAGGCTGAAATATCTACTAGGGCATAAGAAAGGAATTTATAGGCGTATCAAAAGAGGCGAGGGTTATCTTATGAATCAGTATATTGACATTAAGAGGGACATTAAAAAGGGGATAAGAAAAGCTAAAAGGGACTATGAAATTAAAGTGCTAGGGATTCTAAAACTAATCCAAAAAGTTTTTTCCAGGTATATAGAACAAAAGTCAGAGATAAGATAGGTCCCCTTAAAAATAACTATGGGCATCTTACTGACAAAGAGAATGAAATGTGCTCGATTTTAAATAATTATTTTCTCTCGGTTTTTACACAGGAAGACACTAATAATATCCCGGTAATTAATTTGTATAGTGGATCAGAAGAAGATAAATTATGTAACATCACAGTCACTAGTGAAATGGTTGTGAAGCAGATAGACCGACTGAAGCAAAATAAGTCACCGGGTCCTGATGAGGTTTTTTCAAGGGTTCTTAAGGAATGCAAAATGGAAGTCTGTGAACCATTAACTAATATTTTTAATTTATCTCTTCAAACAGGTGTAGTGTCTGATATGTGGAAGATGGCTAATGTAATTCCTATTTTTAAAACAGGGGACAAGTCGTTACCGTCAAATTACCGCCCAATAAGCCTGACCTCAATTGTAGGCAAGTTGCTAGAGTCAGTTATAGCTGAGATTATAAGAAGCCATCTCGATAAGCATAGCTTGATTAATGATACTCAGCATGGATTCACAAGAGGCCGGTCTTGTCTAACTAATTTATTAACTTTCTTCAGTAAAGCTTTTGAGGCTGTTGACCACGATAAAGAATTTGATATTGTTTACTTAGATTTTAGTAAGGCATTTGATAGAGTTCCGCACCAAAGACTGTTGAAGAAAGTAGCAGCTCATGGCATTGGGGGGAGGGTGCTCTCGTGGATCGAGTCATGGCTCACAGACAGGAAGCAGAGAGTGTCCATAAATGGGGTTAAATCCGAGTGGGGATCAGTAACAAGTGGCATTCCACAGGATCAGTCTTGGCCCGTTGTTGTTTATAATATATATCAATGATCTTGATGAAGGAATTACTAGTGATATGAGCAAATTCGCCGATGACACGAAGATAGGTAGGATAATTGATTCAAACGTAGATGTTAGGGAACTTCAGGAGGATTTAGACAAACTCTACTCTTGGTCAGAAAAGTGGCAGATGCAGTTCAATGTGGATAAATGCAAGGTTCTGAAGCTCGGGAGTGTCTATAACCCTGGCACTTATAAGTTGAATAATGTAGAACTTAGCCATACAGATTGCGAAAAGGACTTGGGGGTTATGGTAAGCAGCAACCTTAAACCAAGACAGCAATGCCTAAGCGTACGTAATAAGGCAAATAGATTACTGGGATTTATATCAAGAAGTGTAAGCAACAGAAGTCCAGAGGTCATACTGCAGCTTTATACATCATTAGTAAGGCCTCACCTAGATTATGCAGCTCAATTCTGGTCTCCATATTACAGAATGGACATAAATTCGTTAGAAAACATTCAGCGTAGGATGACTAAATTAATACATAGCATTAGAAATCTTCCTTATGAAGAAAGATTGAAGACTCTTAAGTTACATTCACTTGTTAGACGAAGAATGAGGGGAGACCTGATCGAAGTGTATAAGTGGAAGATAGGTATTAATAGGGATGATATAAACAAGGTCTTGAGGATATCTCTCCAAGAGAGAACCCGCAGTAATGGATTTAAATTAGATAAGTTTAGATTTAGAAAGGACATAGGAAAGTATTGGTTTGGAAATAGGGTAGTTGATGAGTGGAACAGTCTACCTAGTTGGGTTATTGAGGCTAGGACTTTGGGTAGTTTCAAATTTAGGTTGGATAAGTACATGAGTGGGAGGGGTTGGATTTGAGTGGGACTTGCACATCGGAGCTTATTTCTTGGGTGGCATTGAAAATTGGGTTGGGCAAATGTTTTGTTAGTGGGATGAATTGTAAAGGACCTGCCTAGTATGGGCCAACAGGCCTTCTGCAGTGTTCCTCCTTTCTTATGTTCTTATGTTCTTATGTTAACACACCCAGAGAAGACACTGCCGAGAAGAGATACATAGTCCTTCCCACCAACTCCATTGCCAAACATGTTTCCAACATCTTTGCCAAAACATCATTCCAAGTATCTACCTCCACAACCACGACCATCAAGGACATCACCAGTAGTAGACAGGACAAGCCTCCATCCTCTGCAGGGGTATACATAATCCCTTGTAATGACTGCAACAAATTATATGTGGGCGAAACATCAAGAGACCTCCAAACACGTATTTCAGAACACCAATATGCAAGCAGGACTGACGATACAAGGAATGCCTGTGTACAACATCGCAATTCACATAACCGTTTAATTAACTACAGAAACTCAAGACTTATAGCCACAGAAGACAACACTCAATACAGAAGAATCCTGGAATCATCGTTTATCTCTATAACCAACAATTTCAACCAGAACAATGGCTTCTATAACATAGCTAAACCACTCGCCAAGAAACTTCTTCATCGCTATCCCACATAAGAACATAGAACACTGCAGAAGATCTACTCACAACTTGTCCAATACCCCCGCCTAGCTACCCAAGACTCTATAACCCCACCCGGTAGATCATCAGATGCAGCATTCTCCACCTGACCTCAACATTCTGAACTATAAATACTCCCGTACCTTCCAACCCCAGGTAGATCCGTGTGTGACTTGAAAAAGCCCACTGTGTGGGTGAAACGTTGTCAATAAAGGATCACATTATACTGCATTTCCATTATACTGCATTTATTTCCATCAGTGTCAGTTTGATGGACTCTGTTGTCATATCCCTCAGTTAACTCTGTTCTCTGCAGGAAATTCGTATGTGATGCTACAGTGATCTTGATATTGGTTTTCTTGATCTTCTGTACTTACAGTATTATTTTTTTTTTTTTGTATCTGCTTGTCATGAAAAATCTTCCACACGTCCATGATTAAAGTTATAACTTCTCTGAATATGTTTACCATTATCTTTAGGAACTTTGTCTTCATTAGTAAGGTCGATGCTCCTCTACAGTTTATTCATTTTCTTAACTAACCCATTATTTACAATATTTTACCTTTTCATTACACACGTACACTAATGTCTAGAGTGCAACTATAAACATTGTAATAAAACAATTATAAATGTATAGTAAAGAGTAAAATCACTATTATAATAAATTTCTTCAGTTTGTGCATGATGAAGTGCATGGTGTGAATGGTGTGATAAAAAGGCTTATGTTAAGCATGATAGGTTTGATGTTCTTAAATATTCATAATCGCATGCATAAATCTCCCAGGCGTTCAGTACTGATTAATATGGAGGCTTATTTTAACCATTTGCATTAGTGTAGGATAAACAGATTGCAAATTAAAACTTTACATTTATTTAGAAACAAATACTGAAAAATAAACGGCTATACATTTATTTAGAAACAAATACTGAAAAATAAACGGCTACAAGAGTATTTCCTTTCCCCACAGAAGAGACTTTTTTTTTTAAGGGACACTAAAGTTGTATGTTCCCCAAGACTTGTAATATATGCATGATGTATTATGCTTGATTGTAACCGAACCGGAAATTTTCATAGGTAGTTATTCTACCTAGATATGAATTTAACATTGTTCTTGAAATACTCACACATACATAATGGTATTTTAGTAAAAATGGAGTTATATTGTTTGAATTTGTGAAGATGGGCATGTTTACTCAGGCGAGGAGAAGGTATGGGCATGGCTACCCAGAAAATTATGATGCTCAATAAAATTATTAAAAACTTACTGCATCTTGGGAAAGGAAAAAATTGTCCAGGAAATGTTGTGAAGCTCTCTAAGACTGTTAGTTGGTTTAAAAAACACGTGAGCAGACACTAGGACATATTAGAAAACGTTTCGGTCACCTTGATCATTTGAAGTGATCAAGGTCCCAGGACTGAAACATTTTGTAACAAATATGTTGTAGCGTTTGTTCATGTCTTTTTAAACCAATTGGTTGGTATCAATTACCAAGGTTTTTACCAAGATTGTTAACAAATATTAATTCATGCATCTTGGAAAAAACTGAAAAAGACCCAGGATAAGGCATGAAACAATTAAGATCAACAAAATATGTGCATTTTTGAAGAAGGACGAAAATATCCTTTGTTGAATGTGCAAGATGCAAGTGTTGAATATACCTAGTGGGAGGTTAATAAGTTATGAGCAGACATTAGGTATGAGATGAGAGAGAGCTCACAGGAGACACATGGTACCTTTGTGCAGCGAGCAGCAGGTTGTGGAGGACGGGGACTGGGGCACCTCGCCTTTCATCTTCGAGATCATGTTCATCAATGAAACAATGATGTTGCTTGCTAAGTAAGTTTTGCTGGCTCAGGGAATCGTAATAACACGATTGCAAACAAGCCACGGAACGGGTGGGGTTTGAACCCATGGTGTGAGTCGTAAAACTCCAGGCCAGTGTGTAAGCCACTGAGCCAGCTGGCTACAATAAGATTCGTCCAACTAGGTATATTTATGTACCATAGGGAGGTTAGCTTGGGCTTGGGGACCATGCTAACCTTCCAGCGCTGTATAAATATACCTAGCTGGATGAATCTTACTGTAACCAGCTGGCTCAGTGGCTTACACACTGGCCTGGAGTTCTATGACTCACTCGCCATGAGTTCAAACTCCACTCGTTTCATGGTTTGGTCAAGTTTTGCTGTTGAAGTGGCCTCGCTATGCTAATATTATGTGAACCTTCAAGCATGGGTGCGATTTTTTACAAAGTGTAATGCAGTATAAATGCCATTTACAGTATTTGTATCATTGTACATATATCATTAGCATTTTTGTGTGAGCTGAATGTTTAATCACAACACCTAATCACAGCTACATTTTCTAATATAGGAAAAAAAAAATGCTTGAGTCACTAATTATAATTGTAAGTGAAACTAGGTAAAACGTAGTACGTACATTAATTGTAATTTGCATATCGTTGATAAAATTTTACAACATAGCATTTCTAAAAGTAACTTATTTTTGCCGTAACTTTGATTACACTGTAGAGTCTATTGTTAACCATGTTTAGAACTAATGAACTTGTATCTTTCAGTAAAAGCACTACTGAGGTGAGGATCCCTAAAGCAATGGTGAGCCTAGAAGTATGGATACCTCCAGGATACAATGCTGAATCTCTCACCACTGACTTTGAAACTACCAGGTTAGTTAAATAGCTGTCTTAGTCTTCAACTCCCTACACTGTTGGAGGCCCTGAAACTTAAAGTGCTGACAGTGTCGAGAATTTAAAAAAAATAATTAGTGGAGAATTTTTTTGAGAAATTTGATGAAAAGCTTAGGGAATTATGCATTTGCAAAGTTGGCAGTCTGGGTGCAATTTATGCATCAGCAATTTTGCCCAGTTTGAGTATTATTTAAGCTAATTTCATTGCTAAGTTCAGCTAAATTCCTAGCTATTTCACTAGTATGCCTTTCATTCTAGCGATTGAGCACAAGAAACCACCCAGTAAAGAAGTGCATAGTAGTTGGTAATGTAGCCAATTTTAACACAAATTTCAAAATATTTCTATTTAAATACATTCCAAGATAAGCACTGTAGGCATTCCAGCCACTAAAGCAACATATCCTCTCTTCATCAATCATGTCCCCAGACCTCTTCCATATTACATTTGACCTCCATTTTTAAGTCATCACACAGAAGAGGAAGACTTATTCTGTTTCTCGGATAATAAAATATAACCAAGAATGGTTAGTCATGATTGAGGGCGTTCCAATAATTTAAGCAGACCTGTTAAAAAACATAAAATGGACAACCTTACTTGTCCTCAGGAAAATTGTCAAAAATCAAATATTTCTGCTACTTTGAGCCTGATTTCAAGCTACTTTTGGTCCTGAAATCAACCAGAATCATCCCAATTTCGACATTAAGGCCTCTATTCTATCAGCTGATACCAAGAAATAGCTAGTAAGACCATGAAAAGCATTCTAGAAAACACCTCAAAGCTGGCATTTTAAACCAAACACAAGGTCAAGTGGTTTTCTTTATTCATCTTGCACTGCACGAGGCAGGATTTTTTTATACCATACACTTACTGCGCAAACCCATTCTCTCATGTCTAGGCCTAAATTTACCGGTCACAGCATATTTGAGTGAGCTGTACTTAAAATGTGGATCTATATGAGTGATTCTGGTATCAATAACGTAGTTCTACTTAAAGAGACAGTCAAAGGGTTTAGTAAATCTTACAATTTTTTTTGAGCATTGTTCCTGATCAGCCAAGCTATGGTGCTTACTCAACTGTGTTGTGCTAATATTTGTTGCCCGACTGATCAGATAATCTACCAGGATGTCAGGGGTGGGAGTGATGACCTTTGCAACCTTCAACAGTTTGAATAACAGAACATTCATCACATTTTACTTGTTTTTACATTTTATTCCTTAATATTTCCTATTCATATAATATTTCCTTTATAAATTAGGTTGCCTGGTCTGAGACCAGACCACAGTAGTGATGATCCTCAGAACTATTAACAGATATATTAGTAGTTATAAGTAAAGTTTCCATAAGAAAAAGCTACCCCAAAATTTCAGTAGATACCAATAAGTACATATACAGTATTTTTTTTAGAAGAGTGTATTTAGTGAATTTAAATATCCATTAATACATCTGTATTTAGCAGGAATTTATGGTATTAAAGAAAATTATCTTTCAGTGAATTAAAATATAAATACTTACGTAATTACAGTGCTTTGTCCTTTTTGTATAAAGGAATTCTTTGAGATTTCTTTGGATGTAATTTTTCTTTCTTTGTGTAGACTTGATTATCATAATAAAAATTGATCATGTGGATCAGAGCACATCACATGACATCTGAGAATTATGCACAGTAGTAATGAAAAAGTAACTAGTGTATTTACGTATATATGTGCAGTAAGATCACAGTAAACAGGTGATATCACAATATGCAAAATAGTGAATTCACAAGTGCTTTTGTGATTTCTTTTATTATCAAGGAGCAGTTTCTTGATAATGTGGGAAATCATGAAAGTGCTTGGAAGTACACTATTTTAATGTTAGTGAGTTAAAATAGTGAATGAGAATAAGTTAGTTATAGTTTTATGTTTACAGATATTTAATGGGTGGTATTTAATAGGCAATTATATACCTCACTGATGAGTGTGTAGACCATGGTAGTCATAAAACTCATATATGTAATGCTATTTCACCGAGGCAACTGTCTAAATTTTCAGCTATCTCGGATCTGGTGGATGTTTTGGATGGTTTTTGCCTAAAAGCTTGCTCGCTCAAGATTTCATTCTGGACCACTGGAGGTCTTACACTAGTCCAAATTCAAAAGCTCTTCGGATGTTTTCCAGGACGTTTGAAGGTTAGTGAAAAGTAGTTTGGTATTTTTTAGAAACTTGGTTTGATAAGCCATAAATGCAGAAGCCAATAACTTCAATTGTTTTATTAAATATTTAACAAAAAGTTTATCTGGACTGTATTTAAGAGTAAACAATCCTTTATGTAATATGTTTTTTTTTTTAGAATATTCTCTTATAATTTAAAAAAGAAATTCTTTAACTAATACTGACAGGACTCCTGAAATTAAAAGTGCTGTGAGTGTCAGGAATTTAAAAGTTAGTGGTCAAGGCGCAATTTATACATTGGTGATTTCTCCCAATTTAAGTCCTATTTTAAGTTTGACCAAATTTTTAGCTATTTTCCTAGTATGCCTTCTGTCCTATTGATTGAGCACAACTGTTCATTCAGTTATCAGAACTACCCTAAAAAGTGCACAGAAGTTGGAAATTTAGCCAGTTTTACACATAATTAAAAGAAAAATTCTAATTTAAACGCTGTCCACAATAAACACTGTAGGCATTCCAGGTACTAACGCAACATTTCTCTGTTCATTTATCATGTCCCCAGACCCCTACTGTATTACATTTACCCCCATTTTGAATTTCATCACAAAAAATCATATATAACCAGGAATGATTGGTCATTGTTTTGGGTGTTCCAGTAAGCAGACTGAGTAAAAACCCACAAAACAGACTGAGGGGTAGGGGGCCTTACCCATCCTCAGGAAAAATCGTCAAAAATCAATTACCGTATTTTTATTACTTTAATTCCAGTTTTAAGTTTAGGTTCTACAACTAACTAAAATCATCTCTGTTTTGGTAGTATGTCTTGCATTCTATCACATGATTATAAGAAACAGGAATAAAATCATAGAGACCATCCTAGAAAACTCCTCAGAGTTGCTGTTTTAAACCATACACAGGTCAGAGATTTACTTTTTCTATCATGCACCACTTGAGGCAGGATTTTTTTGTATACCGTACACACTCCACAGACCCATTCTCTTACATCTAGGTCAGAATTTACTGCTCACAGCTTATCTGAGGAAGCTAAGCTCAAAACGTAGACCTGTGTAAGCGACCCTGGCATCAGTAACATAGATCTGTGTACGAGACAGTGAATGGTTTAATTATATGGTGTTTACTGGAGTTTATATTAAGATTAATTCTATTGCTATTGTTTTAAAATTAAAAATACTTCTTCATTAGGGAGCAAGGGGCAAGTAACCCCTTCTCCCGTATAAATTACTAAATTTAAAAGAGAAACTTTCATTTTTCTTTTTGGGCCACCCTGCCTTGGTGGGATACGGCCGGTGTGTTGAAAGAAAGAAAGACTTCTTCATTAATGATTGCATAAATATTTTGCATACATTTATCATGCTTAGGAGACGGTGATACTGTACTATGTAAATTCTTCTTTGACTCGGTACTAGTCATCTGCTTATTTTTGAGTGTTGAATACCCATCATAAGTATTTATACCACTTGTTAATGAACATTTTTTTATCAAATGAAACATGAACACTTCAGCAGTTTGCTGATACCTTGTTTTGCATGATAGTTACACAGTAGGAACAAGGCTAACTATGTTTCCCTCTTACATTCCACCATTACTTATGTGTGACAACTGGTAATACAGTATACAAGATCGTACTTAAATATTTGTGGTTCTTATGGTTGAGGCTCAGTGCCTGACTTTGCCTGTAGTCTTGTGGGTACTATCATTCCTATTCTTAGAAGTATCAGTAGGTGTGTAGGAAAAGTTCTAGAGACATAGAAGGAGTCACATATGAAAATAAAATTAGCTTACAGAATTACAATGCTAATGCTTGTACTGTTTATAAGTCACTCACTTATAAACACCGTTGTATAGAAAAAATAGTATAAATGTTGGTTACTGGTCTTTTATACTTCATGTTCTGTTTTTAGCTTGGTGGTTGTAAAACTTTAATTGGTTCTTAATTACTCTGTATGTACTGCCTATGCAGTACAGAGTAATTATGAACCAGAGTGCAATTTTAGGCATTGCAAGTTGAGGACTGTTTGTAGATAAAATAATTACTGTTATGGCTATCCCTCAAGAAGTTTCCAGAGGTGAAAGAATATACATGACTTTTATTACATTCATTACGTAAGATATTTTATAGTCTTTTATTTGTGTTTGTGCTAGAAATTACTTCTTGTATATTTTTTGTATTGTGAAACTTGGTAGTCCAGCTGGGTGGCAGCAGCCTCACTTCATGGTCACTCACAACCTATGGTGTTGTTTATAAATAATTTTTTTAAATACTGCCAAGAGCCATTTGGTGATAGTTTGTTGGGTAAGGAAACATGTATACAGTACCGTACTGCTAAATGGAATCCTGTTAAATGTATTACACTCAGGTAGCATTGCTGCTACAGTACTTTCTGTGTGATAAACACACAAGAGAATAGGTAAATCTTCCAAACTCACATTTACTTGTCCAATCCTGCCTGTCGTACTTTACCCTGCTGTTCTTAACCAACTTAATTTTATTATGGCAACCAGTGTTATTGTATACTGTCTTCTCTAATGCTTTATTTTGTGATTTACCCTCTGTAAATAATGTCTGTTGTCCTAGATTGATCAGTAGTAATATATACAGTATTTATTTTCCACCAGAGTTGCAAGAGTTATCTAATAAGATGAAGGATCCAGAAACAGGAGAATTTTACTGCCCAGATAATCTTGGGTGTGAAAAAGGAATGTACACACCGCCAAGGTGTACGCCTGATCAAATATGTGCTGTCCTCTTTGCATCATTTGCAGGTAAGCACAAACATTACCCTATTGTACTCTGATCCATACATGCTAAAAGTGGAGGCTGTCAGAATATAGTGGTTCCAGTTGTCTTTATATGGGCATAAAGCAATGTTTTAAAAATTTTGTGGTGAGGAGGTTTGAGGCAGTGGAAATTTCACATCTGAGGTCAATGTGTGGTGTGAAAATTATGAGAATAAGGAATGGAGAAATTAAGGAAAGATGTAATTCAAAGAGGTGAAGATAGACTGTTGAGATGGTTTGGCCATACAGAAAGAATGGAGAGTAGATAATTAATGTGCGCTTAGAATCCCTCTTACACTTGATCAAATTCCCTAGTAAATGACCTGTAGTTTTACACTTTCAACCATCTCATATTGTCAGCTATCTTTTTTGTGATTAATTTTATTCAGTGTATGTTATCAACCAGAATCTCAAAAAGTTATCATAAATAAAGGCATCAGGCAGGGATACTACATGTTAATATATTGTGATAATATTTGTTAATAGATATGACAATAAATTTGACAGTTACATTAAAATACAGTAGAGAATAACGTTATGAGTAAGTGTACTTAATACATTGAAGAAGGGTATCTAAGCATCCCCTGGAAGGGATACATGATTATGAATTGGTGCATATCATTAAAATAAGATCATTTAAAGAATAAATAGGCACAGTATCATGGCTGGGAACAATACACAGATAACCCTCACGTAAGAGACTGAAACTTAAGACGACGTTTCGGTCTGGCTTGTACTATTAAGTATTCACACAGAATCATGAAGGGAAAGGAGCCAATATATATACAAGAAGGGGGCAGGGCCAGGAGTAGTAGTAGTTAGTAGTAGTGGTAGTTATTGGTAGTAGTAGAAGAAACAGTAGTAGTGCAACAGTGGCAGAGGGAGCAATAAAAAGGTAGTAGAGTTAGTGAAACAAGAGTCAGAGAGTGGAGTGTTAGCAGAGCAATAATAGTAAGTAGTAGTAGTAATAGTGAAGGTAGTCGCCTGCTGGCTTATGTCCTATGAGGCTTTTTCCCGTGGGTTTTTGTCCTACCCTTGGAGGACATTAGTTTTCCTGCCCTTTTCTCTTGTTCTTAGACTATTTCTACTATTATACTACGATATTTTTACTTTTGATTTGTGACCTTTGTTTAACTAAACAAATACCTCTTATTGCCCTTTCTGCTGCTGTTGCACTATTTTCTACTACCCCACTATAACAAAAAACAATTTACTACCGCTCCTTCATTCCATTCTCCCGGCCCCACCCGCTCGCATATATAAAAGATACTCCTATTTAAAATGACGGAGTTCCTTTCCTTAGGTCAGTAAGCAAATTGGTTTTTAAGGGGAGCGCCCCTTACTAAATTTAAAGATAATTACTGGTAGGGGTTTGTGTCAACATACGTAACCAGTCGGAGAGGTGTTTTTAAAAATGTGAGCGGTGTTAAACGGTGGGGATTAAGTGGGAGACCTGTGTTTTCCCCTTTTCCCTTCTGTTTCCTGTAACTATTTAATGATCCAAGCTGCACCGAAACGTCAAAAATTTTCAGTCCCCTTTATGCGGGGTTTTTTGATAAGTCATTAATTCATTAATTTCAGAAACTGTTGAATGGTGAAAAAAGAATTCTATTTAACATTTTTCAGGATCTGAAGGAAAAAGTTTTTTTTTTTAAAAAAATAAAAGTTTGTATTTCACTAGGCTCCAATTTTAGGGTATGTTTTTTTTTTTTAAAATAATTAAAAATTTTTATTCGTTTAAAATTTTTATTACATTCATTCAATAAAATGTGAAAAAAATTCATTCGTAGACAAATTGAAACTATAAAAGCATATGTGAGAGTGTAGGATTGGACAAACCGGATCAAAAATTTTATAGAGCGAAACATTCATCCCCAGGCTCTTTGAGCGTTCCATTCTTATTTTCCCACGGGGGCCCTCTGTTCTTCTACACCATTTGATTTTTTATCAGTTTTTTTCCCCCCATGCATCGACAAACATTTTTGAAAAGTGAAATTACAATTTTTTTTTGTGATTTACTATGCTGTAATATACCTATGTTTAAAAACTTGTGACTTTTTTAGATTTTCTTACTCCTCCAGCCCACCGGGGGCCAAAGCTTTTTTGGGGCTTGCCTGGTCAGCCGGCATTCCTGTTGGCAGCCATGGCCCCACATATCATCAAACCGGGTTTTGTTTGGGTACTTGGTGGAAGTAATGATTAAGTTTCCTCCTAAAACTTCTACATTTTTTTGAAAAACTCACATCGACATATTTAGTTCCTAAGTGCTTTCCCAAACCACTTGTGATGATTAAACAAAAATGTTTAACAATGAATTAATGAAATAAAAAAATAAGTAAATTGCTAAAATTTGTGGGTGTCAAAATTTTTTAACCCTTCCACCAGCCTTTTAATTTCTTGACCCGCATTTTTTGGGGATTCTGCCCTAAGCATTATCCTATTTTCTTGAAACTGTGTAGGGGGGTTTGCCTCCAGCACCTTTTCATTTAGCTTTTTTCCATTTCTTTGCTACCCAAAATACTAAAGAATTATTCCTAGCATCCCTGTGACTCATCTGATCTCTATTTCCACCTGGCTTTCCTGCCCCTTGTCCCTTCCCTTATGAGCAAATGGGTTGTATGAAGTTTTTGGGGAATATGATATTATGCATGTGGTAGGGAGGGTTTTATATATCTTATCTCTTTTTTTTATGACATCACAATCATGGACGCATTTTTTTTTTGTTTTAAGATTGTAGTGGTGTATTGTTATGGCGATTTTGGTTTATGGGTTTTGTTTTGCAGTTTGTTAGTCTTTTTTATTTGTAGTGTTATTGATGTTCATAAAAAACCCCAAAAAATTTTAGATAAACTTTAGACGATATTTTGGTGTTTGTGGGCCATTCACAATTTTTGGTGACTGGGAAATGGTGGGGAAGTGTTGTTATTGGGGGGTGGAAATGGTCGTGTTGGGGATGGAAGCATTGGTGTGGGTGTGGAGGTTTGGGGGGTGGGAGTGGTGGTAGTGTTGGGGGGGGGTGGTGGGAAATGGTGGGTTGGTGGGGGGAAGGTGGTGGGGGTGGGATGGGGGGTGTTGGGGGGTGGGGTGTATGGAAGGGTGGTTTTTTGTGGGAATGTTGGTGATGGAAGGTAGTGTTGGGGGTGGGAGGGTGGGGTTGGTGGTGGAAAAGGTGGTGTTGGGATGGAAGTGGGGTTTTTTGGTGGTGGAAGTGGTGTTTGGTATGGGGTGGTTGTTGGTGGTGGGAGCAAGGTGGGGGGAGGGGGGTTTGGTGTGGGAGTGGTGGGATGGTGGGGGGAGGTGATGTTTGGGGGTAGGGGGTGGTGTTGGGGGTGGGAGGTGGTGGGGAATGTAGGTTTTATGGGGAAGTGGTAGTGTTGGGGATGGAATGGTGGTGGTGGAAGCAATATGGCGTGTAACCCCCATTGGGTTTAAAGGGTAAATTGTTTAAATGGTTGGCAATAAGTGGGGTGGTGTACGAAAAATGGTGGGGGGTGATGCACATGGGGAAGTGGTGTGTTTTTGAGGATTGCAGAAGAGTGGGTTTTTGAATTTTTTGGTAAGACACACTTTAAAATTCTGGGGAAAAAAAAATGAGGTGCCTGGGGAAGGAAAGAATCAAGATGATCCAAGGAAGGGGGGAGTGCTCCAAGGGGAATTTTTAATTATTGCTTTTCAAACCCAAAAAGTCTTTTTAATGCAAAGCGACATTCAAATCCCTCTTATCCATTCCCTTTTTTTTTTATTAGTTTTCACTATTGAAAAGCTTTTTTTATCTGTCTGTAACTTTAAACCCCCCGTCTCGATTAAGCCACTTCCGGCTATACTGTACTTTTCTCAAAAATGATGGGTTGAATACATTGACTCTGGATGTGGACTGATACCTCAAAAATCCTCTTCTTCCCCTATTTTTCTCTGTACTGGACGGAAAGTGCTTGTTGGGAAACATTTCCACGACAAAAATTTTCCCCCAAATTTTCAAAAAAAGCTAATACTTCAATTGTCGTTTTTTTTTAAAAAATTTACGGGGGAGGTTTTAAAAATGCCCGGGGAAAGGAAGGTAATCGCTTTTATTGAGAAGGAGAAGTAGCCCCCAATTTCCCTTTTACAAAAGTCCCTTTACCCCATCAAGGTCCTTCCCAGAAGGGGTGGGCTATATGTAATTTCATTTGTGACTATTAACAGGGGTTTTTTGTATTTTTTACATGTGTTTTTTTTTTTTCAAAACAAATGAAATCCCCAACGTGCAATATGAAATGCAACGCTTTTATAAATTTATTTGGAAGAAACTAAAGAGATACAAAATTTTCTATGAAAGTAGTCTGTTAATTATATTCTGTTCTTTTTAAATTTGTTTTCTGTTGAATCCTAATCATAAAGCAATTTCTTTATCTTAAGTGTTTGAAGTGCCCCTTCAGTTTTCAGTTCAGTGGGAAGCACAAACCCATAAGTCCCGTGCCTGGGAGGTAAAAGTTGCCAAGGAAGTTGAGGGTATTTTCTAATTCCTGGTCCCGGCCTTCACTAGCATAAAATGTAACCTTGAAGGGAATTCATATGTCCAGTAATGGGTTTAGTATGACACTCCCCAGAGGGGAATTTCCATAGGGTATTCAGGACAAAGTATATTTTAAAAAACCAAGTGTGACCAATGAAAGGCCCCAAAAATTTTGAAAAACCTGAAGTTACATACATGCATTACAAAGAGGGGAATTATGAACTCCATTAAAATTTTACAACCACGAAGATTCGGTACAAAGACATGAAACGTGGCCATCTTTTGTGCTCTTTGCATTTTCTATACAAATAACATTTTCTATACAAATAACATGTCTGTAAGTTGGCATAGCATATGAGATCTCATGAGAGAGGAGCTACCTGAGATAGTTATTATTATTATTCTTGTTATTATTATTATTTTTTATCACAAACTGGCCGCATCCCACTGAGGCAGAGTGACCTAAAAAGAAAAACAAAAGTTTTTCCTTTTTTTTAATTTAGCGATTTATAAAAGAGAAAGGGTTATTAGCCCCTTGCTCCCAGCATTTTAGTCGCCTCTTATGACTATTATTATTATTTTTTTTTTTCAACAAGTCAGTTTAGGGAGTGCTAAACCCATAGGGTTCACACAGTGCCTCTAGAGTCTAGACATAGTAAGGGGTCAAAAATATAATAAAATTTGAAATTTGGATAGAGGTAATTGAAGTGAGTTTTCACTCAGTTGTACCACAGTTGATTATTCAGCATCATAATAAAGGCAGCTTTGATATCATTTGATCTCATAGTTTCACTGCTATCTAAAATTATTTTATATTTCTTCCATTTTATTGGTAAGTAATTAACTTGATTATTTTTGTGCTTCAGGCTTTTCACAAAGTACAGATCAACCACACTGACTTTATGGATTTATTAAGCACATACAACACCTGGAAAAACAAAACTCCCTCAACTCTGGATGAAGAGCCTGTCACGGGATGCAGAACAATGGGGTATGGCAACACCGGTTTACACTACTCTCTCTGCTAGTGAAATTACAATTTGCTGAGTTGTAATTCACACAGAATGAATATACAGTTGAATAGATAGGTACAAATTGAATTATACAAATTTGAGTTGTGATGTTTGTACATTTCTGGCAAGATGGCTGTTGAATGAATGATGGTAAAGGTTTTTTTTTTCCTTTGGGTCACCCTACTTCTTCTTTTTATATATTCTGTTTTGATAACAGAATCGCTGGAAAACGTGGAAGCCAAAGAGCACCGTACATGAGCTACGACTGGTGGGTCTTTTTCCAATCAGTGCCACAGAGTCCGAGAAGCACAGGTTTACTGCTCCTGGCAGTGTTCCTGCATTCTTCATGGCAGTCGAAGCTGTAAACAACAACAAAAGCATACTGACTGACTTCTACATTAATCCTATTGTTTTAAATGGAGCATGTGAGCCTGCCATGGTGATGAGGCAGTTCATCGAAATCCTTCAGGGATCTTCTAGTTTAGGCTTCTACAATGATATGGTAAATATGTGAAGAATGATGATAATGTTTTTTTTATAGTTTTAGTTTCTTATAAAATATACTTAAGATAATGAACAGAGGAGGCATAAAAAGTACTTATTTTACATAAATACTCTTACATAATTGGTCGCATTGGGAGCTGATCGTAAAGCGGGGGTCCACTGTACAGTATTGTATTCCATTATATATTTATACATGTATATACTGCATATGTGTTATGTAGAAATGTGTACCCATTCTCTTGAGAATAAAGTTCATAGTACAGTATTTAATTATTATGCTCTTGAGTGATTATAAGAAATAATTATTAATGAAGTTTCCACATTAAGGTAGAAACCTAATATAAAATTGAGTCATTACCTGTTCTGTGGATTCATGTTGATAATTTGAGAGGTTTTTATTTAATATCATCCAATGAAAGGTAGGCAGTAAGTTGACATAATTAACCCAACACATGTAGATGCAGCTTTTGTCATGGAAGGAGTTTTTACTAATTGTGAGTTTTCTCACATTAAAAGCTTTCACTATGTAAAACCTTGGTTTTAGTAATGTCTCAGTTTTTTTATTTTATTATTATTAACACATCGGTGGTTTCTCACTCAGGCAGGGTGACCTAAAAAACAAGAAACACTTTCATCATCTGTTTATTCTTTTTTGGGTCACCCTACCCGGGTGATAAACGGCCAATGCGTTAATACAGTAAATTAAAAAAAATAATTGCATGATTATTAAAATCAAGGTTTAATGTAGTGCAACCTTATTATGTGAGAAAGCTTACAATGAATGAAAACTCATTCCTTGATAAAAGTTCTCTCTACTCTGTTTACAAATCTCTGATTTACTTCACTCATCCTGATTGAATGTTGAATTAATTTACATTTATAAGATGATTTGTATGTTTTATTTCATTTATTTTGTTAACATGATAAGATTAACAAATAGAATTTTTTTTATGAAACTTCTCTTCATATGCATATTTAGTTTTATATCTGTGAATATTTTTCAGATTGGATTCGTAGGCCCAGCTTTCTCTGATACAGTTTTAACCAATTTCTGGGGTTTCAAATACTACAATGTGCCTATTACTCGTTGGTGCTGAAGGACCATATTTTCAGATAAAGATCATTATCCACTCTGTACTGGACTGAGAAGTTTGCTTGTTGGCAAAACATTTCCACGACAAAGATTCCCAAATGTTGCAAAAATGTCTAATACTTCAACTTGTCGGTTTTTTAAACCATTTACATGAGAGGTTATGTAATGCCTGGGGAACGGAAGGTAATCAGGCTTATATTGAGAATGGAGAAGATAGCCCCAATTCCTTTGATCAAAAGTCCTTCACCAGCATCAAGGTACCTCCCTAGAAGGGATGGGCTATATGTAAGTTTCATCATTTGTGACTATTAACAGGAGTTTGTGTATTTTTCACATGTGTTTTTATTTTTTTCAGAAAGCAAATGAAGATCCACCATATCAGTGCAAATATGAAATGCATCGCTTTCATAAATTTATTTGGAAGAAGCTAAAGAGATATGCAAAATTTGCATATGATGTGAGTCTGTTAATTATATTCTGTTCTTTTATATTTGTTCTTACTGTATTGAATTCCTAGATCATATAAGCATATTTCTTTAAGAATTTATCTTAAGTGTTTGAAGTGCTCCTTCAGTTATCATGTTCAGTGGGAAGCACAAACCCATAGGAGTCACAGTGCCTTGGGAGGTAATGCTTGATCCAAGGAAGTGGAGGGTATCTCTAATTCCTGGGTCCAGGTCCTTCACTAGCATCAAAATGTAACCTTGAAGGCAATTCATATGTCCAGTAATGGTTCAGTATGACATCATCCTCATGAGGGGAATTTCCATAGATATTCAGGGATCAAAGTATATTGTAAAAACCTAAGTGATGACACAATGAAAGGTCCTCAAATTATGAACACCTGAAGTTACATACATGCATGTACAAAGAGGGGAATTATGAACTCCATTAAAATTTTACAACCACGAAGATTCGGTACAAAGACATGAAACGTGGCCATCTTTGTGCTCTTTGCATTTTCTATACAAATAACATGTCTGTAAGTTGGCATAGCATATGAGATCTCATGAGAGAGGAGCTACCTGATATAGTTATTATTATTATTAGGTAGTAGGTTGGTAGACAGCAACCACCCAGGGAAGTACTACCGTCCTGCCAGATGACTGTGAAACAAAAACCTGTAACTGTTTTGCATGATGGTAGGATTGCTGGTTTCTTTTTCTGTCTCATAAACACGCTAAGATAACAGGGATATCTTGCTACTCCTACTTACACTTTGGTCACACTTCACAGACACGCACATGCATATATATATATACATACATCTAGGTTTTTCTCCTTTTTCTAAATAGCTCTTGTTCTTTTTTATTTCTTCTATTGTCCATGGGGAAGTGGAAAAGAATCTTTCCTCCGTAAGCCATGCGTGTCGTATGAGGCGACTAAAATGCCGGGAGCAATGGGCTAGTAACCCCTTCTCCTGTATACAATTACTAAAAAAGAGAAGAAGAAAAACTTTATAAAACTGGGTTGCTTAAATGTGCGTGGATGTAGTGCGGATGACAAGAAACAGATGATTGCTGATGTTATGAATGAAAGAAAGTTGGATGTCCTGGCCCTAAGCGAAACAAAGCTGAAGGGGTAGGAGAGTTTCATGGGGGGAAATAAATGGGATTAAATCTGGAGTATCTGAGAGAGTTAGAGCAAAGGAAGGGGTAGCAGTAATGTTAAATGATCAGTTATGGAAGGAGAAAAGAGAATATGAATGTGTAATTCAAGAATTATGTGGATTAAAGTAAGGTTGGATGCGAGAAGTGGGTCATAATAAGCGTGTATGCACCTGGAGAAGAGAGGAATGCAGAGGAGAGAGAGAGATTTTGGGAGATGTTAAGTGAATGTATAGGAGCCTTTGAACCAAGTGAGAGAGTAATTGTGGTAGGGGACTTGAATGCTAAAGTAGGAGAAACTTTTAGAGAGGGTGTGGTAGGTAAGTTTGGGGTGCCAGGTGTAAATGATAATGGGAGCCCTTTGATTGAACTTTGTATAGAAAGGCGTTTAGTTATAGGTAATACATATTTTTAAGAAAAAGAGGATAAATAAGTATACACGATATGATGTAGGGCGAAATGACAGTAGTTTGTTGGATTATGTATTGGTAGATAAAAGACTGTTGAGTAGACTTCAGGATGTACATGTCTATAGAGGGGCCACAGATATATCAGATCACTTTCTAGTTGTGCTACACTGAGAGTAAAAGGTAGATGGGATACAAGGAGAATAGAAGCATCAGGGAAGAGAGAGGTGAAGGTTTATAAACTAAAAGAGGAGGCAGTTAGGGTAAGATATAAACAGCTATTGGAGGATAGATGGGCTAATGAGAGCATAGGCAATGGGGTCGAAGAGGTATGGGGTTGGTTTAAAAATGTAGTGTTAGAGTGTTCAGCAGAAGTTTGTGGTTACAGGAAAGTGGGTGCAGGAGGAAGAGGAGCGATTGGTGGAATGATGATGTAAAGAGAGTAGTAAGGGAGAAAAAGTTAGCATATGAGAAGTTTTTACAAAGTAGAAGTGATGCAAGGAGGGAAGAGTATATGGAGAAAAAGAGAGAAGTTAAGAGAGTGGTGAAGCAATGTAAAAAGAGAGCAAATGAGAGAGTGGGTGAGATGTTATCAACAAATTTTGTTGAAAATAAGAAAAGTTTTGGAGTGAGATTAACAAGTTAAGAAAGCCTAGAGAACAAATGGATTTGCCAGTTAAAATAGGAGAGGAGAGTTATTAAATGGAGAGTTAGAGGTATTGGGAAGATGGAAGGAATATTTTGAGGAATTGTTAAATGTTGATGAAGATAGGGAAGCTGTGATTTCGTGTATAGGGCAAGGAGGAATAACATCTTGTAGGAGTGAGGAAGAGCCAGTTGTGAGTGTGGGGGAAGTTCGTGAGGCAGTAGGTAAAATGAAAGGGGGTAAGGCAGCCGGGATTGATGGGATAAAGATAGAAATGTTAAAAGCAGGTGGGGATATAGTTTTGGAGTGGTTGGTGCAATTATTTAATAAATGTATGGAAGAGGGTAAGGTACCTAGGGATTGGCAGAGAGCATGCATAGTTCCTTTGTATAAAGGCAAAGGGGATAAAAGAGATTGCAAAAATTATAGGGGGATAAGTCTGTTGAGTGTACCTGGTAAAGTGTATGGTAGAGTTATAATTGAAAGAATTAAGAGTAAGACGGAGAATAGGATAGCAGATGAACAAGGAGGCTTTAGGAAAGGTAGGGGGTGTGTGGACCAGGTGTTTACAGTGAAACATATAAGTGAACAGTATTTAGATAAGGCTAAAGAGGTCTTTGTGGCATTTATGGATTTGGAAAAGGCGTATGACAGGGTGGATAGGGGGGCAATGTGGCAGATGTTGCAAGTGTATGGTGTAGGAGGTAGGTTACTGAAAGCAGTGAAGAGTTTTTACGAGGATAGTGAGGCTCAAGTTAGAGTATGTAGGAAAGAGGGAAATTTTTTCCCAGTAAAAGTAGGCCTTAGACAAGGATGTGTGATGTCACCGTGGGTTTGTTTAATATATTTATAGATGGGGTTGTAAGAGAAGTAAATGCGAGGGTCTTGGCAAGAGGCGTGGAGTTAAAAGATAAAGAATCACACACAAAGGGGAGTTGTCACAGCTGCTCTTTGCTGATGACACTGTGCTCTTGGGAGATTCTGAAGAGAAGTTGCAGAGATTGGTGGATGAATTTGGTATGGGTGTGCAAAAGAAGAAAATTAAAGGTGAATACAGGAAAGAGTAAGGTTATGAGGATAACAAAAAGATTAGGTGATGAAAGATTGAATATCAGATTGGAGGGAGAGAGTATGGAGGAGGTGAATGTATTCAGATATTTGGGAGTGGACGTGTCAGCGGATGGGTCTATGAAAGATGAGGTGAATCATAGAATTGATGAGGGAAAAAAAAGTGAGTGGTGCACTTAGGAGTCTGTGGAGACAAAGAACTTTGTCCTTGGAGCAAAGAGGGAATGTATGAGAGTATATTTTTTACCAACGCCTTATATGGGTGTGAAGCGGGGTGTGAAGTTGCAGCGAGGAGAACTGGGGGGTGGAGATGTCATGTCTGGGGGCAATTGTGGTGTGAATAAATGCAGAGAATTCAGTTTGGAAGTTGGAGGAGGGGGGGGGATTACCAAAACTTTTTCCGGGGGCTGGGGAAGGGTTGTTGAGTGTTCGGACTGAGAAGAATGGAGCGAAACAGAATGACTTCAAGAGTGTATCAGTCTGTAGTGGAAGGAAGGCGGGGTAGGGTCGGCCTAGGAAGGGTTGGAGGGAGGGGGTAAAGGAGGTTTTGTGTGCGAGGGGCTTGGACTTCAGCAGGCATGCGTGAGCGTGTTTGATAGGAGTGAATGGAGACAAATGGTTTTTAATACTTGAGTGCTGTTGGAGTGTGAGCAAAGTAACATTTATGAAGGGATTCAGGGAAACCGGCAGGCCGGACTTGAGTCCTGGAGATGGGAAGTACAGTGCCTGCACTCTGAAGGAGGGGTGTTAATGTTGCAGTTTAAAAACTGTAGTGTAAAGCACCCTCTGGCAAGACAGTGATGGAGTGAATGATGGTGAAAGTTTTTCTTTTTCGGGCCACCCTGCCTTGGTGGGAATCGGCCGGTGTGATAATAAAAAAAAAAATAAAAAAAATATTATTATTCTTGTTATTATTATTATTTTTTATCACAAACTGGCCGCATCCCACTGAGGCAGAGTGACCTAAAAAGAAAAACAAAAGTTTTTCCTTTTTTTTAATTTAGCGATTTATAAAAGAGAAAGGGATAATTATTAGCCCCTTGCTCCCAGCATTTTAGTCGCCTCTTATGACTATTATTATTATTATTATTATTTTTTTTTTCAACAAGTCGGTTTAGGGAGTGCTAAACCCATAGGGTTCACACAGTGCCTCTAGAGTCTAGACATAGTAAGGGGTCAAAAATATAATAAAATTTGTATTTGGATAGAGGTAATTGAAGTGAGTTTTCACTCAGTTGTACCACAGTTGATTATTCAGCATCATAATAAAGGCAGCTTTGATATCATTTGATCTCATAGTTTCACTGCTATCTAAAATTATTTTATATTTCTTCCATTTTATTGGTAAGTAATTAACTTGATTATTTTTGTGCTTCAGGCTTTTCACAAAGTACAGATCAACCACACTGACTTTATGGATTTATTAAGCACATACAACACCTGGAAAAACAAAACTCCCTCAACTCTGGATGAAGTAGCCTGTCACTGGATGCAGAACAATGAGGTATGACAACACCTGGTTATCACTACTCTCTCTGCTAGTGAAATTACAATTTACTGAGTTGTAATTCACACAGAATGAATATACAGTTGAATAGATAGGTACAAATTGAATTATACAAATTTGAGTTGTGATGTTTGCACACTTCTGGCAAGATGGCTGTTGAATGAATGATGGTAAAGGTTTTTTTTTTCCTTTGGGTCACCCTACTTCTTCTTTTTATATATTCTGTTTTGATAACAGAATCGCTGGAAAACGTGGAAGCCAAAGAGCACCGTACATGAGCTACGACTGGTGGGTCTTTTTCCAATCAGTGCCACAGAGTCCGAGAAGCACAGGTTTACTGCTCCTGGCAGTGTTCCTGCATTCTTCATGGCAGTCGAAGCTGTAAACAACAACAAAAGCATACTGACTGACTTCTACATTAATCCTATTGTTTTAAATGGAGCATGTGAGCCTGCCATGGTGATGAGGCAGTTCATCGAAATCCTTCAGGGATCTTCTAGTTTAGGCTTCTACAATGATATGGTAAATATGTGAAGAATGATGATAATGTTTTTTTTATAGTTTTAGTTTCTTATAAAATATACTTAAGATAAGGGAACAGAGGAGGCATAAAAAGTACTTATTTTACATAAATACTCTTACATAATTGGTCGCATTGGGAGCTGATCGTAAAGCGGGGGTCCACTGTACAGTATTGTATTCCATTATATATTTATACATGTATATACTGCATATGTGTTATGTAGAAATGTGTACCCTTCTCTTGAGAATAAAGTTCATAGTACAGTATTTAATTATTATGCTCTTGAGTGATTATAAGAAATAATTATTAATGAAGTTTCCACATTAAGGTAGAAACCTAATATAAAATTGAGTCATTACCTGTTCTGTGGATTCATGTTGATAATTTGAGAGGTTTTTATTTAATATCATCCAATGAAAGGTAGGCAGTAAGTTGACAAAATTTAAACCCCAACACATGTAGTGCAGCTTTTGTCATGGAAAGGGGTTTTTACTAATTTTTGGTTTTCTCACATTAAAAGCTTTCACTATGTAAAACCTTGGTTTTAGTAATGTCTCAGTTTTTTTATTTTATTATTATTAACACATCGGTGGTTTCTCACTCAGGCAGGGTGACCTAAAAAACAAGAAACACTTTCATCATCTGTTTATTCTTTTTTGGGTCACCCTACCCGGGGTGATAAACGGCCAATGCGTTTTAAAACAGTAAATTAAAAAAAATAATTGCATGATTATTAAAATCAAGGTTTAATGTAGTGCAACCTTATTATGTGAGAAAGCTTACAATGAATGAAAACTCATTCCTTGATAAAAGTTCTCTCTACTCTGTTTACAAATCTTTGATTTACTTCACTCATCCTGATTGAATGTTGAATTAATTTACATTTATAAGATGATTTGTATGTTTTATTTCATTTATTTTGTTAACATGATAAGATTAACAAATAGAATTTTTTTTTATGAAACTTCTCTTCATATGCATATTTAGTTTTATATCTGTGAATATTTTTCAGATTGGATTCGTAGGCCCAGCTTGCTCTGATACAGTTGAACCAATTGCTGGTGTTTCAAAATACTTCAATGTGCCTATTATCTCGTATGGTGCTGAAGGAGCCATATTTTCAGATAAAGATCATTATCCATACTTCTTCAGGACCATTCCAGAAAATAAGATTTTTCGGTAATAAAACTCAGTTATTTTGAGACGTTGCATTATTACATCTCATATACAGGAGGGCCCCGCTTATACAGCAGGTTAGGTTCCGGACTACTGCTGGAAAGCAAAAATCGTTGTAAAGAGAATCATTGCTTTTTTTTCACTTTCAAATGTATATAAAAGCCTGATAACATGTTTATACTATCATATATTAATTGAGCAATAGAGCTAAAAAATGTATACAGTACAGATGTTGCTTACCTTAAAATATTTTCATCCTTAGCTTATAGTAAGTGATGAATATATATACAGTATTGTATGAAGTCTGAATAAATGAAGAATGTCTATAATTGAAAACTGCTGCATTAGTGAAACATTATAAAGCAAAGCACTGTAAAATGGGTCCCTCCTGTACATAATATTGAACAAATTCCAATCTTGTGGTGCTCCTCTTCCACAATATTTAGTAAGTGTATAATACGTTGCTGCAGTCTTTTTATACTGAAGTGCGAGATGTACTTTGAATATTTAAGGACACTGCATGAGGCATCTTTCATCAAAGTTTGTAGCTTTTGAGATCTATTATAATTTGAGACCTCCTCTTTAAGAAAGGTAAACCTGAATGGGGTGAAGCATGTAATATCTATATTAGATGAGTGCTGTATTTGCCCATAAATACAAGCAAATAATAATTATTGCCATTGTAGTTTTAAGTTAGGCTTCAGTGTGTCTGAAATACTCTGCATAACTATGGACTTTGTGCATGTACAACCAAATGTCACCCAGCTCTGTACAAACACTGTATCATGTGGTAATATATCTTCGACTTTGATAAAGATCATTTAGTGCTGTATGACAAGTGCTAAAAATTTTTTTTTAACATATAAACCATCTTCTACTTTCACCATGGTTAAAAGGTGTTTATGAGGGCAGTGGCTGGAAGGATGTACACTACTAAATGAGTAATACATTTATTTCAAGATTTGTTATATATCTCTTAATCTTAAATTATGAATCATGAAATTGTATTATTCTGTTTCAGACATGTTTACACCCGCTATTTTGTTCATGAGAGATGGAAGAGAATAGCATCACTTACTGAGAATGGCCAGAGATACTCTGAGTATCTTACATTACTTTGTGATTTACTACAGGTTAGTCTTTTTTTCCTTCACCAAAGACTCTGATCCTGTTTTATGTTACATTACTTGTGGGTTTTTACATTGTGCTATTGCACTCAAGATATGATTATTTTTGTTGATGTTCAGCATTCCAATATTAAATACGTTAGTCTCACACGGGTTGACAATAAAACAAAGGATGGAAAGGGTATGTATATGTCCTCTCATAAAAGATTTTATGTGACTTGTGTTAGATAGGAGTGAGTGGAGGCAAATGGTTTTGGAGACCTGATGAGTGTGAGTAAGGTAACATTTTGTGAAGGGATTCAGGGAAACCGGTTAGCTGGACTTAAGTCCTGGACATGAGAAGTACAGTGCCTGCACTCTAAAGGTGTGGGGATATTTGCTATTTGGAGGGACTTCTGAACTGTTGTATCTGTGCCTCTGGCAAGACAGTGATAGTGTGAATGATGGTGAGAGTGTTTCTTTTTCAGGTTACCCTGCCTTGATGGCAGACGGTCAGTGTGTTAAAAAAAATATTTCCTAAAATAAGAATTTGTGCAAGAAATAATTATTTTTCCCTGGGTTTGGATACTTTGCTTCTATGATAAAAAGTAAATGTCGTAGTTCTACCAAGGCACTGAACTCAATATTGACTTGGTATTGTACTGTGTATTTTTCACTTGTCTTTTTGAAAGAAAACCATAGTTTTTCAGTATGTAATATGTAATTTATATTAGTATCCCTTAAATGTAACCTCAAGAGCTTTTTAGAGCACCTCTCACAATTGATCTTTATCCTGTTCTACTTTCTCAGTCTTCCTAATGTAAACTTGACATTAGATTTCAATAATACTCTGTGCAAATTAACATTACAATCTGCTTTTTTCTTTACTTGAATTAAAGCGCCAGAATTTTGTTTGTATTAATGCTCATGGAATCTTTCTCGTGCAAATATGCTTACAAATGTTCTCCATTCTACCAACTTTCACTTCTGGCACAAATAAAGCTGCTTTGTAGAAATATATTTTTTGGCTATTTCTTGTAAAGGTATGTTGACCTAAAGATGGGAACACATTTACCATTGCTCATTACCTATGTGGCTCTCCATTTGTGCAGTGACAAATGTCACAATTCAAATGACCCACCAGTTAGAACATTCCCATTCATCCTTCAGAGTAGGCACTATATTTCCACCTTCAGAACTCTGATCCAGAGTAGGCACTATATTTCCACCTTCAGAACTCTGATCCAGAGTAGGCACTATATTTCCACCTTCAGAACTCTGATCCAGAGTAGGCACTATATTTCCACCTTCAGAACTCTGATCCAGAGTAGGCACTATATTTCCACCTCCAGAACTCTGATCCAGAGTAGGCACTATATTTCCACCTCCAGAACTCTGATCCAGAGTAGGCACTATATTTCCACCTCCAGAAGTCTGATCCAGAGTAGGCACTATATTTCCACCTTCAGAACTCTGATCCAGAGTAGGCACTATATTTCCACCTTCAGAACTCTGATCCAGAGTAGGCACTATATTTCCACCTTCAGAACTCTGATCCAGAGTAGGCACTATATTTCCACCTTCAGAACTCTGATCCAGAGTAGGCACTATATTTCCACCTTCAGAACTCTGATCCAGAGTAGGCACTATATTTCCACCTTCAGAACTCTAATCTGGCTGACTGGTTTTCCCTGAATTCCTTCATAGATATTATCTTGCACACACTCAAAATACACACTAAGTCCTAAAAATCATTAGCAATCACTCAGTCTGATCTAATACACTTACACATCTATTGAGTACTTAATGTAGGGTAAAAATAATCATCTAAATATACTTTATTGAATGAACATTGTCCAGTAGCTGGGATGAAAGAATGACAAAGACTTTAATTGTATTTTTTATTGGGTGCAAACTGCTTTTATAATTACAATTTTATATTATTTGTGCAGGATAATGGCATTGAACTGAAAACTCGAAAGTATTTCCAGGAGAAGAAAACACCAGACTTGACTCTGTACCTCCAAGACTTGAAGAACCAAAATTATTACATCATCATAGGGGATTTTTACCAAGATGTTGCAAGAGAGGTTATATGTAATGCTTACCACCTGCAGATGACTGGCTATGAGGTAATATGCTGTAAATTATGATTTCAGTTTAAATTGATAAAAGCTTCACTAGTGGTGCTGTTTTGGATACTTGACTATTGTAATATGAAGAAATGCATTAGTAATTTATGTTATTGATCAGAGACCATGTATGCACATCAACAGTAAACCATCTTGCACCATGAAGGATTTGTTCCTGAAAATTGATGTTTTATGTGAATAAGAGAGCTTTATTCCAGCTATTTCCAAATTTGAAAAAGACTTTGTTTTTTAATATTCTATTAAGTAATAATTACTCAAGTTTATTTTTCTTTATAATCTGATATTCCTTATATCTCCCTATAATCCTTATAATCTGTTATTTGAAGAGTGCACATTGACCTGAGTTGATGTAGTAAGGTTTATCAACTGACCCACACTCATCACATATCAACAAGTAAAAACAAAAGCCACATTTTTCTATCTAAATATGGAGAAACACATTGCACTTACCCCAAGTGAACGTACGTATGTAAAATGTAACTGCGTTTGATAAAGTCGAAACAAAGAAAAAATTCTAATGCAGAAATGTGGTAGGCAGCATCAGCTGGGCTCTTCAGCATTAAAAATAAAAAGCCACACTTTCTAAGTTATATCAAATATATAGGAACTCGCCACACATTTGCACAAAATTACACCATGTTGTGCTGTTTAATAAGAGGGTTTACCGCAATACTGGTATACTTTTATATTGAATAACATAAAATCTTTGTCGTGTAAACTGACAATATGGTGTAACAAGCACTGTTAAAAAAAAATCGTTAGCAATATTTTTCACTTTTTTTTTTTTGATATTCTATTTTCATGACTCCTTTTTTTTGGGGGGGGGGGTCATGATGTATACAGAAAATTGAGTCCCCTCCACTCCTTGCTCTGAATGAACTGTAAAAACTTTTCTACAGTTTAAGACATTTAGTAAAGAAAACATTTTGCATCAGTCAATTTCATCAGTACCATTGACTGAGCCACTTGTGGTCAAACATTTTCTTTAACCTGTTCACTGTCTCTGTGTAGATCTAAGTTATTGATGCCACTCCTGGTGAAACATATCCTTTAACCCCTTTCACTCTTTTGTGTAGATCTATGTTAATGATGCCAGCATTGCTTATGTAGATCTATGTATAAATTTTAGCAGTCTCAGATTTGGCATGAGAGGCCTGGTAGGCCAAAATACGAGAGAATTGGTCTGTGCAGTCAGTGTGCACATTATATTATGGGAATGCCATGTTAGCATACCATTGTTCACCATGCCGTGTGGATGCAAAAGTCTCACTCCAAGGGGAATTCAACAGGTATTATTCCCCAATGATAGCCCCTGTCAGTATCACTATGCCATTTACAACTGAATGATCCACATGGGTTTAGTGCTTCATATGAATAAATGTCATAATGTATATATTGGTAATTTTTCTACAATGGTGATTTCTTTCAGGGTTACCTATGGTTCTTGCCACACTGGTACTCGGTAGGCTGGTATGATACTGATCAAATGCCAGCATACAATAAGTGCACTACTGCACAGATGCAACGAGCTCTTCAGGGACACATGTCACTCTCCTATAAGTACTTTGCTGAAGATTCAGATATCATGCAAGAAGGAATTACAGTGAAAGAGTGGCGGAAAAAGTACAGCCAGGTACAATACTGCTCTGTTTTTTACTGCATGTATTTTAGGTTGTTTTTTATTTCAGGCTGAGTTATGAGAGTAGGAGAACCCTTGAAACCAGTCACAGGATGGAATTAATAGTTTGTGATTACTTTTGTTGTTACAGATGCAAAGCCAATGTGTTAAAAAAAAATTTTTTTGAAGTCCATTAAATTGAGGGTTTTCTGTATTATTGTATATCACAATAACCTCCAAAAACTGAGACAATGGCTGGCAAAATGTTTTGTTGCTGTTAATGATTCTTCATCAGTTTTTAACCTCAATAGCCTTCTCAGAGTAATCCAAAGAATAAAACATTTATCACCATTCATTCAATTGCTGACTTTCCAGAAGTGTGATTACATCACAAATCAGATTACCCTATGACTACAGCATCCCCATCTCTCCTTCAGAGTACAGGCACTGTACTTCTCACCTCCAGAACTCAAGTCCGGCTAACCGATTTCCCTGAATCCCTTCATGAATGTTACTTTCTTTACACTCCAACAGCATGTCCATTAAAAATCTTTTGCATCTATTCACCACTGTCTAACACACTCAAGCAAGCCTGCTGAATGCTCAAGCTTCTAAAACTCAAAGCCTTTTTTACCCCACCTCCCTCCAACTATTCCTGGGACAACCTCTACCCCTCTTAATTTCCACCCCAGATTGTCAATCCATCCCTCTCCATCCTCTACATGCCCAAATCACCTCAACAACATAGCACTATGAACTATACCCTTGGTATAATAATAGAATAAAACTTGGTTCAGGTATTGTGAGTAGAATGGGGGAGTGGAGGATCAGAAGGAGACGTTGCTCTCGTGGTACTCTAATAAGTAGTGATATCTTCATCTGCCAAGCAGAGGTCCCACTTCTGCAAGGTCCAGATTGCAACTGAACTACTCACACAGAGAGGTGTGGAGGGATATGAATATGCAGGGGTCAGAGTGTACGCTCTTCTACTAACCGACATACTGATTGTTACATTTATAATTCAAGGCCTGTATATAGTTATGACATTATTGACACAGGCAGAGCACTGTCCTTTCCTGGTTCTGATTAAGAGTCCTTAATGACCCCAAAAAACTTTCTGGTGGCTGTTCTGATATCCAATTTTTGAAGAACTTGTGAATTTTTGGTCATATTGACATAAACTTTTGTTATTTACTCTCCTTGAAAATTTAGCAAGACTAAATTTTATAAACCTTTTCTTGTTTAAATCACAGCGAATCCAAGACACTATCAAAAATGCCTCGGAATCTGACTATGCTGGGTTTACATATGATGCTGTCTGGACCTATGCTCTGGCCTTGGATAAACTCTTCAAGGAAGATCAGTCTTATGCAGCTGACCTTAGAGCACTAAACACGACTCAGTGAGTGAAATTGATGTTTAATTCATATCATAATTTTCAATTCTTATTTTGATAACCATGTCAGTCCAGAGAGGAATGGTGACCTAAAGAAGGAAACACAATTTGTCATCACTTCAGTGATTTGTCATATATAAAATTTGGCTGTGCTCAGTTAGGATCAAAAAATACACTTGCTTCTTTCTGTATTTATATTTATTATTATTATTATTATTATAATCATAACCAAGCACTAAAGTATTATTATTATTACACTCATAACTAAGTGCTAAACTCACAAGGGTTATACAGCAATTTCTGTAAAAAAATAGTCAGAACAAAAACTTCAATTTCTAAATGCTGGTTTTATTTGCTGAGTTAGGCATTCTCTCTTCCTATGTTATTTGTCCATTATACACTTCATTTAAAATATAAGGGTTTTATTTTTTTATACAAGACCATGCGAGATATTAAAGGTATATTATCCATTAGTACTGTATTAACAGTAAATTTAATATTTTACATTGCTATGTTTAGGGTTTCCAGAATTTTGGTTTTCCTAGGTTCTCTTTATAGTTATAACTCTGTGTCATTTGCATTTATTAATATAATTATTTTTTTCAGGGCATTCATGAAACAAATTTCATCACTGTCTTTTAATGGAGTGTCTGGGCACATCAACTTCTCTTCTGGTTCCTCCAGAGTAACAGACATCATTGTGTGGCAGTTTCAGGACAAACAGTATGTTGAAGTTGGACGATTTCATCCTGATGAAGGAGAGTAAGTGTCTTGGTATTTCACATTTATTTTTTATAATATGCTGTTTATTAAACACATCTCCATGGGGAGTGGAGAAGAACCCTTCCTCCTGAAACCATGTTCCCCAAAGTTAATTTCTTCATGTACTCCAGAAGCCATAAATTTGTAAGACCAAATGTAGAATGAATCATGCACAGATACAGTTTCTTTATTATCTGCATTTACTGTTTTGTTTAAAGTACAATTTATGTAAAATATATCACAGTGAAAATAGGAAAGAAAACCTGAGCACTTTGAAGATGTGTGTGTGTTTAAGCACATGAAAGTGCTCAGGTTATATTTCATATTTACACTGGTAATTTTACACATTTGCAATCGTGCGTTTTATTGTGATTTCTTCCGTACAATATATATGATAATTTATGTAATTTTTATAGATTGAACATAAATGAAGGACAGTTCAAGTGGCCAACTGGACGAGCACCAGTTGATGGTAGCAGGTGTGCGATACAAGGCTTTAGTGAGTTTGTGAACCTGGAATGTGCATATGCCTTAATTGTTCTCTGCACTCTCTGCTTCGGAGGACTTATACTCTTGCTAATCATCTGCTTCTGCATCTTTAAGAGAAGGTTAGTTTTTTTATCTTTTAACATTTATGTAATTGTCATAATAATTTGTAATATTTTTTAATACACTGGCTATCTCCTACCTTTAATATAAATTCTTTTTACTTTAGGGTAACAGGGAAAGATTTTATTATATACAGTATTATAAATTCAACAATACACCTCTGATCCACTAATTACTACATCTACCTGGGTATTTAATTTCTCTTGTGAATAAGTCTACCCCAATTTTTGAGGGGCAGGTCAGGTAGGCTAGAGCTAGCATGGTAGGGCAAGTAGTGCAAGGCAGAGCAAGGCAGGGTGGGTCTGAGCAGGCAGGACAGGCAGAACAGAGAAGAGCAGGGCAGAGCAGGTCAGGTGTGGGTGGGTAACTTGGACTTGCCTACCATAGGCTGATAGATAAATAACAAAACAGCACAATACCGTGACTGGAACAATACACAAATAACCCGCACATAGGAGAGAGGAGCTTACGGTCAGACTTAGGACCATTACAAAGTCCCACTAACAGAAAGGAGAGAAGGAGGCAGTATATACTGCCTCCTCTCCTTTCTGTTTGTGTGACTTTGTAAATGGTCCAAGTCAAACTGAAATGTCGTCATAAGCTCCTCTCTCTTATGTGCAGGTTATTTGTGTATAGGCCAGTTGGCCTGCTGTAGTGCTTCTTCTTTCTTATGTTCTTTTATTCTTATAACCCAGGATATTCCCTTGAGGTAGGATGGCCCGAAAAAGAAGAAACGCTTTTACTATCACTCACTGTTATCACTGTGTTGCCAGATGCATGCCAACATTACAGCTCAAAATGCCCCTCCAGACTTCAGTATCCCCACCCCTCCTTCAGAGTGCAGGCACTATAATTTGCACCTCCAGGATAGTTCAGTTAACTGGTTTCCCTGAATCCCTTCATAAATGTTACCTTGTTCACACTCCAACACCATGTCATGTCATAAAAACCGGCAGCCTCCACTTCTGTCTAACATGCTTGCACATGCCTGATAGCTGTCCAAGCAGCTCGCATACAAAACCTTCTTTACCCCCTCCCTCATACCTTTTCTTGGGCAACCCCTATCCCTCCTCTCCACTAAATATTTATACATCCTCTAAGTCATCCTACTTACTCCATCCTGTCTGAATATCTGAACCACCTCTGTAATCCCTCCTTAATTCTCTGGATGATACTTTAGTAACCCTATACCTCCTTCTGTTCTCCAAGCTATGAATTCTCTGTACCTTAAAACCTACAGATTCTCATTCATCCTATGATGAACCTTGTTTTTCAGATATGAAAAGAAACTGGAACAGATTCAAGAGTTCTGGCGACGTCGGCCCCTGTTTGAAATATTTGATGGTTGGGAGATCCCAAGAGACAAAGTTGTTATCAATCGCAAGCTTGGTGAGGGAGCTTTTGGCACAGTGTATGGAGGAGAGTGTTTGTTTGATGCTCAGGGATGGGTAAGTGAATTTATATTTTTATATTGATACAAAGTCTGAAAATAAAAATATTTGCTATATCCTCTGAAGATTAAGATTACAGTGGTCCTTTATGTTATAATCTTGATTTATGATAATTTTGAGTTATAATTTACCTTCATAAAGGAATTTAGGTTTGAGTTGCACAAAAAAATTGAGATATGATGTGCATGTGATGGATTGGCATGTACGGGTGGGCTTCAGCCAACCAGTGATATGGTAGCTTGCCTCTTTGGGGCTTAGCAACCAGTTAACTGTAGAAACAAATGTCTCTGGGGTAGTATCTCAGCCAATAGCACCATTTGTATTATGGTTTATTGTTTCCTCCCCAGTTTGAAGCTACCATGTGTGTAGCTCGCACGAACTCTTGAGTTAATTATTTTTCATAACTTCATTTTTTTTTTTAACACATCGGCCATTTCCCACCAAGGCAGGGTGACCCAAAAAGAGAGAAAAATACTTTCATCATCATTCAACACTTTCACCATCACTTCGTACATAATCACTGTTTTTGCAGAGGCGCTCAGATATGACAGTTTAGAAATCCCTCCAAACTGCCAGTATCCCAAACCCCTCCTTTAAAGTGCAGGCATTATACTTCCCATTTCCAGGACTCAAGTCCGGCTAACTGGTTTCCCTGAATCCCTTTACAAAATATTACCCTGCTCACACTCCAACAGCTTGTCAGGTCCCAAAAACCATTCATCTCCATTCACTCCTATCTAACACGCTCACGCATGCTTGCTGGAAGTCCAAGCCCCTTGCCCACAAAACCTCTTTACCCCTTACCTCCAACCTTTTTGAGGACGACCCCTACCCCGCCTTCCTTTCCCTACAGATTTATATGCTGTCCAAGTCATTCTACTTTGTCCCATTCTTTCTAAATGACCAAACCACCTCAACAACTCCTCTTCAGCCCTCTGACTAATACTTTTAGTAACTCCACACCTCCTCCTAATTTCCACACTCCAAATTCTCTGCCTAATATTTACACCACATATGCCCTTAGACAGGACATCTCCACTGCCTCTAGCTGCCTCCTCGCTGCAGCATTTACAACCCAAGCTTCACACCCATATAAGAGTGTTGGTACCACTAGAGTTTCGTACATTCCCTTCTTTGCCTCCATGGATAACGTGTTTTGTCTCCATAGATACCTCAGTGCACCACTTACCTTATATTAACCCTTAAATGGTCCAAATGTATATATACGTTTTCTCAACATCTGAAAGCATGTAAAAAAATGTAGATCTTCTTTTTTGTTTTACATTTGAAAACGTGTAAAAAAACTTTTATCTACATTTTTTTTTTTGTTATAAGTGGACCCCCGGTTAATGATATTTTTTCACTCCAGAAGTATGTTCAGGTGCCAGTACTGACCGAATTTGTTCCCATAAGGAATATTGTGAAGTAGATTAGTCCATTTCAGAGCCCCAAACATACACGTACAAACGCACTTACATAAATACACTTACATAATTGGTCACATTCGGAGGTGATCGTTATGCGGGGGTCCACTGTATTTGAAAATATGTAAAAAAAAGTGGATCTACTTTTGTAGCACTACGAAATTGAACGTCGATTTGTTTGGACCGTTTAAGGGTTAAACAACCATGGTGACATTACACATCCCTGTCTAAGACCTACTTTTACTGGGAGGTAATCTCCCTCTCTCCTACACACCCTAACCTGAGCTTCACTATCCTCATCAAAACTCTTTACAGCATTTAGTAGCTTATAGTGTATTCCATACACTTTTGTATTACCAAGTCATCATGGGCCCTGGAATGGGCAGTAAACCTGAAATTTCTTTTAACATCAGCAAGAAATTGTGAAAAACATGTGTCAAATTAGTGTATGAGTATGGCTTTCTACAGTCAAACATCTCTGCTATTATCAAACAAAAAGAAATTACAAAGAATTTTAAAGTGGCTGACGAATCTTAAGTTAGTGAAAAGAGGCAGAGAATTATCATAGAGATGGATAAGAGAGAAGCAGATGGAGAGGTACAGTACCTGCAAGTTATATCTGTGAATGTGCTAAACAAAATTCTTCTTCAACAAACCGGCCGTATCCCATCAAAGCAGGGTGGTTCAAAAAGAAAGAGTGAAAGTTTCTCTCTTAAAATTTTGTAAAATATATGGGAGAAGGGGGTTACTAGCCCCTTGCTCCTGGCATTTTAGTCACTTCTTACTTACATGCAAGGCTTATGGAGGAAGAACTCTGTGCCACTTCCCCATGGAGATAAGCAGAAATAAACAAGAACAAGAACTAGTAAGAAAATAGAAAAACCCAAGGGGTGTATATATATGCTTTACATACAGTGACAGTGAGTAGTAGAGATGTACTGAAACTTGCATGTACGAGACAAAAAAGACACATGACTATTCATGTATAACGATTACGTAAGGTTTCGTTTACACTCACTTGGCAGACGGTAGACTCCCGGGCGGTTGCTGTCTACCAATTACTACCTAGACTAAAGATATGACTCAAGAATGTATACACGATTGCAAACAACCTACCCGCGGGATTGAACCGCGTATAGAATCTCAAAACCCAGCCGTGGTTAGCCACTAGACCATAGCACAATAAGATTCATCCAACTGGTATATTTTACACCATGGAAGTTAGCACGCACCACTGGACACAATGAATTTTACAGACGAATCTCCACTAGCGTGCGTGACGAACTCAGCTCAAGTCCCTTCACTGCCGTCAACAGACTCACGAAATCAATGACACATTGCAAACAAACCTACCCCGGCGATGAACCGGTCATAGAATCTCAAAACTCCAGCCGTCGCGTTAGCACTAACCACTGCACAATAAGATCATCCAACTGGTATATTCCTCACCATGGTGAGGAAATATACCTAGTGATGAATCTATGTGGCTAGCTGGTCTAGTGGCTAACGCTAAGGCTGGAGTTGAGAAAATTATGATGATTTAAAACATTCACCCTTGAGTAGAGATGCTACTTCATATGATGATTTTAAACCTAGCAGAGAGTTGTTCAAGGGTTTTAAGAAAAGGGCTGATATTAAAAGTGTTTTGAGACCTAGCAGAGTTGTTCAAGGTTTAAGGAAAGGCTGATATAAGTGTTTTAGCTACAGTTTGAAGTGCTTGTTACCGTGGACAGTTATCTTCCTCGACAAGTGTTTAATGTGTATGACAAGGCTCTTCTGGAAAAATATGCCCAGATGAAGACACCTTCAAATTGAAGCTGAAAAGCTTCAGGTGCTTCCTTATTACCACTAGAAGCCTCCCCATGTTTCTCTCCAGGCAAACATTCATCACCAAGGAGGAGGCCACTTTGCCTGAGCATAGCCTATGAAAGATAGGCTTACTCAGCTTTGGATGTTTACAATGGATTAATATTGTAACTCCAGGGACCACTGTAGTTTTTTAATCACTATTTTTTTTTTTTACCACATATGCTGTCTCCCACCAGAGCAGGGTGATCCCAAAAGGAAAAACTTGCACATGTAAATACATATCAGTACAGTAAGCACCAGTAGGTGATGACATATTGTACATCCATGCATGTTTGAATACATAGTACTGTATATACTGGTATATAGCATCTGACATGTTTTGTCTTTGCAAAATTGCTTGGCATTATTCATGCTGAGTATGTCTTACCAGTATGTATTTATAATTATCCTTGGTCCTTGTATGTCTAACAGACACAGTACACTTTTTTCCTTGGCCTTGTACCATATTTGATGAATCTTCACTGTAATGTTCATGTTTCCAGGTGGCAGTAGCAGTGAAGACACTGAAGGTGGGGTCAACCATATCTGAAAAGCTGGATTTCCTTTCTGAAGCTGAGATGATGAAAAATTTTGATCATGAAAATATTGTCCGGCTTCTAGGAGTTTGCACGAAAACTGAGCCAATCTACACAGTAATGGAATTTATGTTATATGGTAATTAATCTCATACAACACAAGTCTCTCTCAATGTTTTGGTTATAGCTATGACAATATGTTAAATACTGTACAGTATATTGCAATTTTTTTTAAAATACAGTTTTATTTTATATGAATTGTAACTAAATAGATGAACAAAAATTATGTAAGGTTGAATTTGAATTAAAACTATTAATATAAGAAACTTATTGTTAGGGTAGCACTGAAAGTGGGATGGGCAAATGTTCTGTTAGTGGGTTGGATTTGTAAGGGATCTGCCCAGTATGGGCCAAAAGGCCTACTGCAGTGTTCCTCCTTTCTTATGTTCTTGTGTTTATTGAGTTTTTGTGCCTCCATAAAAACATCTTTTAATGCTTTGGTTTATTTTTTAATAGAAACTAAAAACGTATTTTATTCTAGGTGATCTCAAAACATATCTTCTTGCTAGAAGAAACTTGGTTAATGAAAAGAACCGTAATGATGATGATGAAGTGAGCAATAAGAGGCTGACTTCCATGGCTTTGGATATTGCACGTGGCCTTGCGTATTTAGCAGACCTTAAATATGTACACAGGTAAGCTTCTCCCCTTTTGTTTACCACCATGCATATTTGGTCTCTCTTTTCCTACCTTTCCTCTCCATTTCCTTGTCTCTTATGTCTTTCCCCTACTTGCATCTCTTCCTCCCTATCTCTCTCTTTTTTTCCCTCGATCTCTTTCCCCCTACCCATCTATTTCCCATCCTTCTCTTGTCCACTCTAATCTCCACTCAGCTCTTGTTATGTGAATGCAGTATAACACTCGACCTTCATCTCGCTTACCCCTCCTCTTTTCAATCTCCTCTCCATTCTCTATCCCCTTCCTTCCCCATCTTTCTCCCTTATTCTCCCTTTTCTTTTCCACCTTTGTCTCTTGGATAATTATTTCTTTTATGTTCATGGCCATGAAGCATTGTGCCCAGACTTAATAGCAGTAGAATGATTGTACCATCACATGCAAGCAGAGGCTCTTTAACAAACTGGTTGTCTCTGACGTAGGGTGACCCCTGAAAAAGAAACACATTCATCATTCACTCAATTGCTGTTTTGACCAGAAGAATGCTAACATCATAGTTCAGATGGCTGTCTGAACTGCAGCATCCTCACTCCTTTAAAGTGATGCTTGAATGATTTAACTACACTTGTAACTGTATACAGACTACTTCCACTTAGCAACAATGGCGTGCTCCTCAAGCATGTCTTAAGTGATTTTTTTTTTTTTTTTTTTTTTTTTACACAGGGTTTGACAAGGTTAAGGATCCCTAACTTTATTGACAAGCTATTTACAGGTTAAGGATTCCTAACTTTATTGGCAAGCTAAGAGCTGTTACCTACATCAGCTCATTTGAAAGCATTTTTATTGTTATGAGACATACAAGTAGGGAACAGGATGAAGTTGGAGCCATCTGTGGGCCAGCATTTTCATTTGATCAGCTGACTTTATCTCGTTGACATCATTATGCTGTACAAATGTGTTCCATACTCGAGTCATCCTGGGTATGTATGATCTCAGATGGAGTGATGTTCTGGAGAAGGGTACAGCCAGAGTGAAGTTGCTGCTTTCTACCCGTCTTGTGGCATAAAAGCTTGTTTCACGCTGTCCTCGAAGTGCATACAAGTGTGGTATTTTGACAACACTGGCCGTCTTCCACCGAGGAAGGGTGACCCAAAAAAAGAATTACTTTCACCCTCATTCACACTATCACTGTCTTTGCAGAGGTGTGCAGATACAACAGTTTAGATGTCACTCTCAGCAGCAGATATCCCAAATCCCTCCTTCAGGACTCAAGTTCAACTAACCAGTTTCCTAGAATCCCTTCACAAAATATTACCCTGTTCAAACTCCAACAGCTTGTCAAGTCCCAAAAATCATTTGTCTCCACTCACTCCTATCTAACACATGTTTGAAAAATTCCAGTGTTGTATTGGCATCATGATCTTCAGTTTGTAAAGGTGGAATTTCTATAGATAAAAGGTATGATTATTGCGCAATACAATGCTGTGAATTTTACTTACAGAAGTTTAATATAAATTTTTCTTAGGTAAGTGGTGGGGTAAAATTTTTTTTTTTTTTAATTTCAGGGATGTTGCCTGCCGTAATTGCCTGGTCAATGCAAACAGGACTGTTAAGCTTGCTGATTTTGGAATGACTAGGCCCATGTATGAAAACAATTATTACAAGTTTAATCGTAAAGGTGAGTCATACAAATATTTTTTATATTTGGGGATCTCAGACTGACAAGTGCTCAATTACAGAAGTCTGTCCTGATGAACAGTGCAGTTAAAAACTAGTTAAATTTTTGTTACTGCCAGTGTATGGTTAAATGTGTGTGTGACTCATAACCATCCATTTTACTATTGTTTTCAAAGAGAATTAAGTTTTGTGTTACTAGTTCATAAGTGGCAACAACAGGAATGCAGCTCATTCATAAGTTGGAAGCCTCTGCCGTGTTTTAGGATGTACAGTATAGGCTATTAACATCGCTACCTCTTAATTATATTCTCAGTGTAAGATTTTTTTTTTTTCTTCTACTTGTTAGGTTTGTCACTATCTTGGGAATACCTCCACTCAGTGACAAACTTAAACATGTATAATATGATCTTAAAAGAAAAATTTTCTATTTGTAGTTTATTATTATTTTAATCCGAACTAAGCACTAAACCACAGTGCTGCATATTTATAGTTTAGCTCTTTAGCTTCCTGGTGCCACTTCAAGAGCTAACCATCTTTGATCTGCACTTTCACGGCTGTAAATTTGGTAGTGATTTGATAATTTTCCTTACAATACTATATTACATCTAGTAATTTGGGTAGGATTTCATTTTCGTCATAAGCCACAGTCTGAAAAATCTGTTATTCACAGCAATTTCAGGCAAACTAAATTATTATTATTATTATTTAACTCTATCAGCCATCTCTTTCCAAGGCAGGGTGACCCAAAGAAGAAAATACATTCACCTACATTCCTGCAATTGTTGTCCTTCCAGAAGTGTGCTGACATCAGTCAGGTTACCCTTCTAACTGCATCATCCTCACCTCTCCTTCAAAGTGCATGCCCAGGATGCGAATGTGGGATCTTTTACACATTTCACCACGTCGACCTACAACATCATCATTATCATTTTTTTTTTTTTTTGAGGTTTTGATGCATTTTGGATTACATGCCATATTCAGGAGCATAATTACTGTGAAAGACCTATTGTACTATGAAACTGTGTACAAAGAAGGATTATAATTATAATCATGGGGGAGCATTAAACCCGTAGGGATTATACAGTGCCTGTAAGGAAAGGGGGATGGAAAGTATTCAGGCTCAATTCAGGGAACTGGAGCACAGATCCAATTCCCTAGATCAAAACCTTCACTAACATCAAGGAACCTTTTGAGGGGTACAAAGAAGGAGATTCTTCTCACAATGTTGTATGATTAGTGCTGGATGGTTTAAAGACTTTAAAGAGCACAAATTATTTGAGAATGTTTAAATTCAAGCTCAAAATTTAAATTCAATAAAGTTATGTTGGAAGAAAAGGCCATCAAGAGCTGACACTGACAAGCATGAAAATATTACACCTAGTTTGAAAGCAGCCTAGGGTTGTTCCAGGTTGTTTCTGCACACCACTGCACTGACAAATCTCATCACTTTCATTTGAAAATAACAACTACAAATATGTAAAGTATGTTATAATGTAATAATTTTTACATAGTACAATGATAACAAAAATTTGACACATAAGGAGGTGTCTAGAATGTAACTATTTTTTCCATATGTTCTTCACTTTACACAGCACTGTAACTTGGATATTTAGGAATGTGACCCTGGCATTCTATGAGGGTTTACTGTTTTTACCTGTATACCTATTTGAGGAGGGGTTTGGGATATTGACAGTTTGGAGGGGCATCTAAACTGTCGTATCTGAGTGCCTCTGTTAAAGACAGCGATTAGTATGAGTGAAGGTGAAAGTGTTAAATGATGAAAGTTTTTCTTTCTTTTGGGTCACCCTGCCTCGGTGGGAAACAGCCGTGTTAAAAAACAAACAAACTATTTATGGTTGTGATCATTGCACCTATGACCCAGACTTCTTTACTTTACAGGTATGTTGCCTGTACGATGGATGGCGCCAGAATCCTTGACTGATGGTGTTTTTACTACAATGAGTGATATTTGGTCATATGGTGTATTACTGTATGAAATTGTCACATTTGGAGCATTTCCATTCCAGGTATTTTCCTAAACATATGACTTATGAAATGATTATATTATTACATTCATGGGGAAGTGCTAAACCTGCAGGGTCATGCAGTGCCTGGAAGAATGGGTGGGAGTTGGGTATGATCCAAGTAAAAGGAGGATTGGTCCAGTTTCTTGGACCAGGAGCCTCTCACTGGTTTAAGAACCTCCATTGAGGGGATTGTTATTGTTTTATCCAAGGTTAGGAAAACATAGACCCCATATTGTTAGATATAATTATTATTACCATTATTACTTTTATCATATTCGTGGGAAAGAAGTAAACCCATACATGTTATATAGTGACTGAGGGATGGAAGGTAATCAAGTTTGATCCAAGAAAGGGGAGGGTAACTAATTTGATCACTAGACCTTCAATATCACCAATAGATCCTCCTTGATGCAAAGTTATACATGACCATCATGTCTATCCTATGTCCTCTCAAGGACAGGTCAGTAACATAATGTATATAAGATGTAGCTAAATTGCTTACACATATGCATCAGATATATGATCTGTGTCTGCAGGGGATGACTAACGACCAGGTGCTGGAGCACGTCAAGGCTGGCCACACCATTGCCATTCCCAGAGGAGTCAAACCTCAACTGTAAGTTCTCTTATATTTCTTGTATTTTTATCATATTTTTTTAACACACTGGCCATCTCCCGCCAAGGTAGGGTGGGAGAAGAAACACTTTCACCATCACTCACTTCCATCACTGTCTTGCCAGAAGTGCACTAATACTACAGTTCAAAACAGTAACTATCCTTACTCCTCCCTCAGAGCACAGGCACTGCACCTTCCACCTCCAGGACTTGAGTCTGGCTAACTGGTCTCTCTGAATCCCTTCATAAATGTTACTTTGCTTACACTCCAACAGCATGGCAAGTTATAAAAAACCACTTGCCTCCACTCACTCCTATATAACACACTTGCTGGATGTCCAAGCTCCTCGCATACTAAAACCTCCTTTACTCTCTCCTTCCAACCTTTTCTAGGATGGCCCCTGCCCTGCCTTCTCTCCACTTCAGATTTATATGCCCTTCAAATCATCTTATTATAATTATTATAATATTCATCAGGATTAAATGCATTGGGTCATTCAGCATCGAGGAATGGGAAGTAATCAGTTTGGTATAAGAAAAAAAGGGTAACTCCAATTTCTTGATCTAGTCCCCATCAGCATTAGTGCAGCCATCTTGAAGGGACTCCTTACAGAGGTATTACCCCCTGTTTACACTCCAATAGCAAATTATGTATCATAGATCACTCACCTCTGCTCAATCATGTCTATAATACTTTTACAGCCTTTAACATTCCCTGTAACCCTTAGTTAACAGCCTAACTGGCTGTGAGAATAGTGTGCTCATCTAACAATTAGCAGATGGAGGATCGAGCCTCAACTACCTCTGCTATATGACCCACATGGGTTTAGCACTTCACTTAAATACAAGAATAAGACTTGGCAACCCCTCTATTCACCCAAGATTTGTACATCCCCGTTACCAACCTTTCCTGACTCAGTTTTTCCACACGTTCAGACAGTCTCATCACTTGCACAACATTTATATAATATGGTACTTTATTGGGTAGTTCCCATACTTTTGAATATAAATTCATACCAAATTTTGGTAACAGAAACAACCTTTCATTATCAGTGATACATTGTTTCATGATGGATTTTATGGTACAGTTTTCCTGTGTTGGTTATATTTTAATCTTGCTGATCAAACAGGACACACAGCATCTATTGCCTCACTTCAGACATTTTTGATAGTAATGTCATCATTTAGTATTAAATATAATATGTTGTGTGTTCCACACACAATCCATACCTGCCGAAAATATAGATTAAGAGAAACATCACTTTGAATAATGACATTCAACTTGTTATACATGGAAAAAAATTCAGATGAGAAAACTAACTTTTTTTTTTTTTAACATGTTGGCCATTTCCCACTGAGGCAGGGTGACCCAAAAAGAAAGAAAAAAAAAAAACTTCATTATCATTCAACACTTTCACCATCACTCATACATAATCACTGTCTTTGCAGAGGCACCCAGATACAACAGTTTGGATGTCACTCCAAACTGCCAGTATCCCAAATCCCTCCTTTAAAGTGCAGGCATTGTACTTCCCATTTCCAGGGCTCTAAGTCCGGCTAACTGGTTTCCCTGAATCCCTTCACAAAATATTACCCTGCTCACACTCCAACAGCTCGTCAGGTCCCAAAAACCATTCGTCTCCATTCACTCCTATCTAACACACTTGCTGGAAGTCCGAACCCCTCGCCCACGAAACCTCCTTTACCCCCTCCCTCCAACTTTTTCGAGGCTGACCCCTACCCTGCCTTCCTTCCCCTATGTTACCTGGTGTAATTTATGTCAATTGGTTTACACTTTTTACCAGACTCTTTCCCTTCTTCCCCCCCTTCCCCCCCAAAAAAAGGCATTAACCCGTAAACAGTCCAAGCAGATCTACGTTTACATGTGTAATGCTACAAAAGTAGATCTAAGTTTTTTTTACATATTTTCAAATTTAAGTAGATCAAAGTTTTTTTTGACACATTTTCAAATGTAGAAAAACAAAAAGAAGATCTACTTTTTTTACATACTTTCAAATGTTGAAAAAATGTATATAGTGGACCCCCGCATAACGATCAGCTCCCAACTCGACCGATTATGTAAGTGTATTTTTGTAAGTGCTTTTGTAGGTGTATTTTTAGGGGTCTGAAACGGACTAATCTAATTCACAATATTTCTTATGGGAACAAATTCGGTCTATAACGGCACCCAAACAGACTTCTGGATTGAAATAATATCGTTATGCGGGGGTCCACTGTATATACGTTTGGACCGTTTACGGGTTAAATGCCTTATATCTCTCCATTTATTTGAAGTCATTGCCAAATAATACAAATGATATTAATTTAATAATTTTTTCCAGGGATGTGTTGTTGAAGACTTGTTGGAATCGCAATCCAATGAGACGACCTCAGGTATTACAAATAATTGAACACCTAATTAATTATCCACGATTAATTTCTCCATGCTTAGATGGACCTCAGTCTTCTGTGCAGATTGAGGATACAGTATCTCTTGAGATGAGAATTCCAGATAAGACAAGAAAATTATCCCTTTCAATCAACAATCGGCTGCAGAATGTGGCATCTTCAAGTAGAAAACGGTCAATGAGTGGGAATATGGTGATGAATATTCCACCTCTCACTACAAGCTTGAGTGAAGATGGCATGATCTCTGCACATTCCAACCTAGACGCTCTTAATTTAAACCATGTGATGCTGGAGGAAAGTGAAGTGGGAGAGGACCCCTTACTACCCCCTGCCCAGTATGTCTCCTCAAGGTATATGTCTTTAGCACATAAAGATCATAAAGAAAAAGAAAAAGAAAGTTTAGTGAGTAGACAGCAAGGAGATTATTGTACCACAGATATATCGCGTGATTTGTGGACTAGTGTCACACCCGTATAGGGAAAGGCCCACCTAGGCAAATCTTAAGTGACCAAAGTAGTGTTCTAGTGGATTAGATATGAGAGTATTACTGTGCATTGAGGTTTCCTTAAGGAGGCACTCAAGACCAGATCTTAGCAGCAAAGCACGTTGAATGTACTCATATGCTAATCTTTTTCTGGTCATACTATTTTATATTATTTAAGTGTTATTTATGAAATTTTATTACTCAGAATGATGTAGATATTCCTAAAAGCACAAAGAAATGCTTGCTTATAATAGCTTGCATTCTTTGCTGTGGGTATCAACACTGCAGATGGCATCTATCAGTATTATCTTATTATGCAAGGGGATTCGTATGCAAGCTCTGATGCAATATGAATCATTGTTTTAAGACAGCTATCATGTGCCAATGCTGAAGATTAAACCTCGCAGGTGAATGGCAGTTGTTGCTGTGAAGTGAAGCAGTTCTGCAGCTATGGGCCCACAATATTCCTTCCTCCCAATCCCATAGATTGTGTTGATTATATGAAGTCTTGGTGTTATGTTAATTTTAAGCTCCTAGACCTTAAGAGCACTGTTTTGCAGACTTATCAGGAAGACAACTATTTAGTATTTTACTGAAAATAATGCCAAAGTTTAAAAGTTAGTGTAATAATTTTTACCATCATTTTATGCACGAGTTTTTGAGGTTTTATTTATTTATTAATGTGACTTGACATTTGTCAGATTCTGTAGTTTCTGTCTGGAATATCATGATTTTAAATAATACTTCTCATGACATGTTTATTCCTTTTTCATTGTGTGTGTGTGTGTGTGGGGTGCAGCAGATATGTTTAGTTTTGGAAGTATTATTTAGGCCTCAGATTTTCTTTATTATGTGAATGTTTTGCATTGGAAATTTAAGGTCTAAGCTAAATTAGTATGCAATTTTCATAGAAAGGCTGGGAAGAGCTATATACTTCAAGTTTTCTTCAGTTGGAAAGTGACAGTGATGCAATAATTGACAAGGCTTGTTTCTCCCTTTACACTTGTCTTAGTATGAACAACAGCTTAATACCTCTATACTATTTGTTTTTTCTAAATTTTTCCTTGATACCTCGAATGTACTCCAAGCCAGGACAGCTTCCCTGGTGCATTGAAAGATAACCAGGACATACAAGGTTCTTGCTCCTTGGACTATTTAAATGTTTGCAACAAGTGATGCCAGCAGAAGGGCTACCTTGTATATTTGTCATATTAATTGACTGAAAAGCGATAGTGATACTTAATACAAGTGCTTGGCAACAATGTTAAAATTACTTGGTGACCCAAAGTAATGAAACTTAAGAGCCAATAAGTTAAACTAGTTAAAGAAATTGACTCATATAGACACAAGAAACATTTGGGTTGTGGTGTTAAGGTCAATGTGGTGTCCTAAGTCTGCTGCTGGACTGATACGGGTCACATGGGTTGAAGGCCGCAAACACTAGCTTCTCTCAGCTTCACTGCTCCCCTGTGGTCATTATTTGTCATAGTGATAAATGTGGTTGAAGGGTCACTATGCTAGGTATGTGCTAAGCACACACACATATATGTACAGTGCTATAGCTTTTAGGAAGCAATCATACGTAACACGGTGTACATGCTTTCATCTTTCATATTTCATCACCAATTTTTTTTTGTCATAAAAAAAAGGTTGTGTAAATCTTTTAATTTGTGTAACTAAATTAATGTTAATCTTTGCTTGTAGTAAGCAGTGCTTATTTTATCACTGCCTTTTGTGCTGACAGTTACAACTTAATGGTTATGCCAGGAAGTGGGTTGGTTATTTACTGTAGTGTAGAAAATTTACCCTTTAGTACCAAAAAATTAAACAAACCTTTGTTTTTTAAAGTTTAAAATATGTATCCCAAATATTTCTGAGGGCTGTTATGGGAGGAGCAAGCTGCTTTGTCGTAAATAATTCCCGAAAAATATCTTTTATCAGCTGTCAAACCTTACTATTTAGTATTTTTACCTATTTATAAAAAGTGTGAAATGTCCATGAATGTTATTTATATAGCAGTGCCAAGGATATGGGGAGGGGTTGAGGTATATGCAATCTCTCTTCATTTTCATATGTAAGTTGATCATATGACCAGAATAGACAACCTCAAGTCTGTTGTATTTCGCCCTTCCAAAAATGAAACCTCAGGTACCTTAACCACAAGTCCTCTCACTGATGCTTCACAAGTCCTCTCACTGATGCTTCACAAGTCCTCTCACTGATGCTTCACAAGTCCTCTCACTGATGCTTCACAAGTCCTCTCACTGATGCTTCACAAGTCCTCTCACTGATGCTTCACAAGTCCTCTCACTGATGCTTCACAAGTCCTCTCACTGATGCTTCACAAGTCCTCTCACTGATGCTCTTCAACACAAGTCCTCTCACTGATGCTTCACAAGTCCTCTCACTGATGCTTCACAAGTCCTCTTACTGATGCTTCACAAGTCCCCTCACTGATGCTTCACAAGTCCCCTCACTGATGCTTCACAAGTCCCCTCACTGATGCTTCACAAGTCCCCTCACAGATGCTTCACAAGTCCCCTCACAGATGCTTCACAAGTCCCCTCACAGATGCTTCACAAGTCCCCTCACTGATGCTTCACAAGTCCCTCACTGATGCTTCACAAGTCCTCTCACTGATGCTTCCTTCACTAACCTGCTAGCATGTTAAATAAAATTGTCAAAGTAAATATAATTTGAAGATATAGTCTGAAACACGTGCATTTGTGTAAAATTATGCAAAATAGTGAGGTTTGACTGCTTAGCAGAATTTTAGTTTGTTTGCTCCAAACATTGTGAAAAAAAGTCTTATACATGAGATTGGATTTGCTTTATACTAAGCAAATTTTTTAAGAGTTATAATTAATGGTGTCTACTTTTTATGTAAATTATGAATTATATTCAAAAATAAGCGCTAAACCCATAAGGGTTATAAATTATAGGTTATGCTTGTTAAAATATTTTTATTGTAAGATAGTCATTTAAATATAAGTTAGTGCTTAAATATTTGTTTAAATAAAAATGCCTGGTGAGTTAATTAGATGGGTCTTAAATTTTGTATAAAAATAAATGTATTAAAGTGTTCAGATAAGCACCAGTCACCTTAATTTGATAGATTATATTACTGTTTATTTATTTCTGTATAGGTTAATTTGTAAACTAAGCGTCCATTACCAGTGCCTTGTTTAATTTGCTAAACAGTTACATTATCATGTTTACGTTCTTTCAATTTATGCAACAATTGTCATGAAACAGTTCAATTTAATGCAGGTAATTTTGGAAAATATTTTACTTTAAACAAATTTAAATATATTAATGAATAATTGTGATATATAACTTTATAAGTTTATAATTTAACTTAGTTCAAAAATATATGCTTGACTCAAGAAACTAGTTTTAGATCTATATATAATGTATATTTGGTTTATTATGCATGTAAATTAAGAGTTAATCCAGATAATCTTTTGTGATAATACATTGTGAATACTGAAGTGGTCAGAACACAGGTTATTTAGGTATACTTGAGAAAAATGTTGACAAGTTGCTGAAAGTAGAATGAACTTAAATGGAATCGCACTACAGTACTTTTTTTTCTTGACATTGAAATACTTGGACTGCTAAAAGCCTGGTCTCAGGCTGGGCTGTGAGGGTAGAACCCTTGAAACTGGCCACAGGTAATACAGTTTATAAAAGCTGAATTAAGTGAAATACAGGAGGACCTCAACACACAAATAATTGAAGTTACACATCCACAAACAGGATACTTTAAAGCCAATTAATATTTTACAATATCCAAGCCAGAATACAAACATGTGTAAACCCTAATCAATTTGTGTAATAATGTTTTATACAAAAACAACTTAATTTCAAGTTAAAACCCAGGGGCATAAGTTGGGCACCTCTATTTTGTTTTTAGTTGCATTTCATTAACCAGTGAAACTGTATGGTGTCATTCAGTGGGGGAGGCTTGATCCTCCTCAAGCTCAAGTGAAATAAACTGAGCCAACCACTGGATTATTTTTCCCAGTATTACTTCTTGTGATTCATTAAGTTATTAATACTACTACCACCACCACCACCACCACCACCACCACTCACTACTACTACTACTAATAGTAATAATAATAATAATAATAATATGAGACTATTATTGTTTTTTTTTTTTCCAAGAAATTTACAATGGCTCGTACACCATACAATAATTGCAACAATGCCTAAGAAATATTAACATTTATATACAAGAGTGACAGTATAATCATCAGAATCAAAAACTCTCAACTAAGACTTAAGAGCATGAACAGATTCCTAACACTTAACAGATACTGGCAACCTGTCGAATAATCTATAAGCTAATAAGAAAAGGGTGCTTTGGCGAATGATTTCTCCCCAACAGCGTGAGGTCAGTTGGTCTAACAAAGGTCCGTGGCAATCTGAAGTAACATTCTTCAGCTTGATGTAAGAGGTACAAGTATATCAGCAAGATACTTAGGTTCATTAAACTTAGTAACATTAAATATTAATATTCATTATCCCACCCACAGGAAGCAATTCATGTCCAGTATATGAGGAATAAGGACTTATTAATCATACAGAAAAATAGATATTTCTCATAAAGAGCAGATTAAACAATTAAAAATACAATTTTTTTCATAAAAAAATATTAGATGTATAGACAGTACAGTAAAAGTTTCTACAGAACTAGTTTCGACAGAATCTCAAATATTAACTACTATAAAATTAGAGAAAGCCTATGTATAGATGTCCCAAGTTAAGTGTATCTTCACTTATAAATGAGTACTTAAAAATCACTGTTTTACAACTGCAGAGCTGCAGCAGGAACATGTGAAACCTAGCTATTCTTTGAACTTTTATTTTTCAATACAAACAACTTGTTTGTAGGTAAAAAAGAAAAAAAATTAGAACAAACCTGCCAGTAAGTTGTGGGCTTTCTGTACTAATTTATACCAGTTTTTACTATTTTGTGAGTTCAGTTTTTCTTAGCTAGTCACTGTCATATTTTGGCTCCTTATTTGGTTTTGCATTTACGTGTGAAGTTATTTGCCTTTTATATTTCAAACTCTAATTATTTTATTTACCACCTAAATCTGTAATATACCTGTGACTGGTTAGAGGGTTGTGCCCTCACAGTCTGGCCAGACTTTCTTGTTGATTGATCAACCTGACTTGCTGCCAGCAACCTGAAGACCTACAGAACCATCACAACCTGGCACTTGTTGCAGAAATTAGTCTAGTTTCCTTTAGAAAATGCTACTACTTGGATATAATTTACAATAATATTCCCTAATTCAAACAAACAAAAATTTCCCATCAGCTACTTGTAAGGTCTGCAGACTACTCCATTATCAAATATTCTGTCATTCAATTAGTGAGGAATCACTATTTTAGTTATCAATATTTTGAGTTTGATGACAATATCAAGCTCTGACTTGTTAAAATTAAGTTGCTATAAATGTGAATTTTAAACCGGTTTTATATATGTATTCAGTTACAGTTGGTGTATTTATTTATAGAATATATTTTTTTAATCTATTTGTTTTATCATTAATAAAAAATAAATATACAGGTTTCCCCATCTTATAGTTTTGCTTATATTTAGCAACCTTATTTCCAAGAGTAATTTGCTGTGTGGTATAGATTCACTCTTACATGATCCTCAAGCCCAATACCACTATTTTTAAACAATATCTCTGGAAATATCATTCTAAACTGGTTTATATTGACATAGTGACCAGAAAGAAATTAGATTTGACTGGGGAAAATCTAGTGGTTCGTGTTCAACTTGAAGAGTTTTGCATGAAGTCAAAGGAAAGGGGTCACCTGGCCAGATGAAGTTGGATTGCACTGACACAATTAGAACTAGGGATACAATAGCAGGGAGATGTATATTCACAGGGTCATTATCTGTACACCTCAATCCAAAGACAATCTAGTTAGTGGTGGAGTTATGGTATAAGGGAGGATTATAATTTGAATTTTGGATTTAATTTTTTCTTGTTAGCTTTAGACTAGCTGCATTTATTTTTGGTATACTGTGTAACCATGTGAAGACCATTTGCTATGCTCATAAGTGTTTGGTAAAAATAAGGGCTATTATCCAGCTCTGGTCCTAGTTAACTTGCACTGATTCAATGCCTTTTACCATCTTCCTGCTTCCCTCACTAAATTAGTCTCACTATTTACCTCATTTGTTCACTGTCTCACTGCCTCTCATGGATTCATTGCCTCCCTCACTACCTTCATTTCATGCACATATAAAGAGCTTGCATCATTTTTTATAGAGATTGTAAATAATAAATCAATAGATCTTTTACAATGTGTTTGTTAGTGGTCAGGGAGGTTGGTAGCCCAGAATGGATGTTCCTGTCCACTGATATATTGAGTCAATGGTCCAGCACCTCACACTGCCCCCTTCATCTGTCTCCATCTTCTTCATACTCAACCACCCACCCCTCACTCACCCACCCTTCCTCTCACATTCACCCAACCACTCACACCCACCCACCCTCTCTCATACCTACTCATCCACCCACTGTTACACCAACCCTCTCACATTAACACCCACCCTCTTCTCATATCTACTGACCCACCCTCTCATAGCCACTCACATTCATCCACTCTCACTTTCCCTTCCTCAAACCTTCACTGTCCTGTTTGACATACTACATTGTTCTTTGTGTCCAGTAACATCTTCAGGACCAATACTCATGAAAAATAGATTTTGTAATTCGGAAACAGAGAACAGTTGTCAATAACATACACCCCGCCTCCTCCTATTCATCTATTAAATCGAGGGTTCACTTTTCACAACACTTACACTGTATAATAATTACTTACTGCTCGTAGGTTATTTCAGGTTACGTTCCTTGCCATTAGAACAAATTAACCTACAGTGTGTCCATGGCAAAGTTTATTTATTATTGGACATGTTATGCATTAAATTGTCATTCAGCTACAACAAGGACCTTTGTTGCATATTTGCCAAAAAAAGTACTTCTAAAGAAATGTAATTTTTTTTTATTTTGTATTATACAGGGAACATGATTGAATTTTTACTTACAGTATTGTATGTTTTTCTCATTTTTTTCATTGCTTTTTATAAAGTAGAAAACCTTAAGTCATACACTTGAAAAACAGAATTTTGTCATGCTTGACTGATTTATTATTAGGAAAAAATCCGTATTATACGATAAAACAGTGCGTGAAGAGGAGGGACAGCTGGAAAACAAGTGCACATTTAGTTCTGGATGATTTAACAAGTTTAGAATATACAATGGGCTGTATCAGAGTAGACTCTGATACAGAGTTTGCAGGTTTAAGTCCTGCTATGGACGTAGAAACAATGTAAATAATTTCGCCTGTTTGCGAATTGTTAAGCATTTCAAATCTCTTTTGTTTTCTACTGCATGTGGCAGGATTTGATGAAATAACTTTGAAAACAAACCTGATGCCTCGGGGTATGGGGTAACATCGTTTAGCTACGGCTAGGCGCCCATACTGCAGGATAGAATAAACCAGTGGAATATGAGAGAATACCTGGGCACTATTGCAACAATCAAATGATGAAACTGCATCAATGTCACAAGATCCCCAACCTTCAACATTACATCAACCCCAACTTTCAACATTATATCATCAATCCCAACCATCAACCTGGGCCCAGCAGGGTTATAGTCACCCTCTCCACTCACTCCAGGATGTTAAGCATCAAGAACCTGACTTTCAGGTAACAAATACTGTACAGCACAATCCTTTGGTAACACACCGAGTGTGATGCGAGAGGATTTTACGTTACACAGTTTAAAAAAATATCTTTCCACTGGATGATCACATCAGCTTTGTTTATGATGCATTTTTGTTGGATATTTGTTTTAATCATCATCTGTTTAGGAGCTGGACTGACTAGATTACTGATGATCTACCAAAATAATGACACTTATAAGGGTAATATATTCATGAGGAAGTGCTAAATCTATAGGAGTCATACAACACCTGGTGTACTGTATATTGTTAATTTATGTTGTTTACAAACATTGCATACATTTAAAAGGATGGTTAAAATGAAAAAAATAATGATATGTATTTTGGGTACTGTATAATTTTTTTACTTTTTTTATGCTATATATCTGGAACATCTGTATGTCATCTATATTCATCAAGTTTTCATTTTAGATTCATCCAAAGAAACCATATTATTTTCTGGATCTCTGGTCTCTGACCACCCAATCCTCTTAAAAATTATTATCTCAGAATTGTCTTAGAAAATTCTATATTTTATTGCTTTATATTTTTCCTTATAAAAAATAAAAAATAAAAGCGTATCTTGAAAGAAATTACAGGTGCAGTGCTCATCACGGCATTATGCCGCCCCTCCCCCACACACATACCAAAACACACACACATATGTACCATGAGAGATTATAATATATATATTTGCACACTTACTGAGGTTTTAATACTTAGTGCTGCATCCTTTATGCTTAATCACATCACTCAGTCGTGTAGGAAGACTCTCACACAAATTCTTGAGGGTTTGGGGAGGTATATTATTTGATGTCTCATGTAGAGCAGCCTCCAGCCACAGGATGGAACTGATATCCTTGCCCAGTAAACTTTGTTTCACTACTGACCAGAGGGTCAATAGTGAACTACAGACTTGGCGGTATGACATGGTGAACCGTCCTGCATAAAAACTGTAGCCCACACTTGTCAAACGCCTCAGGTAAATTGTCACACAATAACTCCAAGTAATCTATACCGATTCATATACTGGTTTTTGGGAAGCACAATGAGTTTACCAACACTTGGAGCACTGAAACACCCCTAAACCATGAGCAGGTCTGGGTGTTTGGTGGTCCCACAGGTGTAGTGTGGGTCTAGCGGATCACTATCTCTGGGCCAGTACACATGTTCACCATGGTTGCAGGTGACAGTGAAGGCTGCTTCATCACTCCAAAGTACGTACTTCAGACTACTGTTGAGGATTCCAGTGAAGATATTTCTTTGCATAATCCAGCCTTCATTTCTTCTGTGGTTTGGAGAGGATTGGTTTCTTAACCTGGCGTGACTACCGTAACCCAGTTCTGACACACGTTGGTAGGTAAGACACATGAGCAACAGCTAGGCAACTTTATTCTGAAACATTTCACCTACACAGTAGGCTTCTTCAGTTGAGTAAAGAAAGTAAGCAGGAGCAGTAGAGATGTGAAAATTATGTAATCAGTCCATCACCCTTAAAGTCATAGATTTGAGGTTGTCAGTCCCTCAGCCTGGAGAAGAGTTCTGTTCCATAACTGTTGCCCATGTGTCTTACCTACCAACCTGCCAGTATTGTATACCATTTTGATGTTCACTCTGACACACGTCTTCTAACAGTTCTTACAGACACCTCTGAGAGGAGATGTGGGTTCTTTTCTTTCAATTCTCTAGCAGTTATCTTAGGTGTACTCTCTAACTCCCACTTTAACACAGTTAAAGTACAAACAGATGTCTTCTTTGAGGGGCCAGGCTGAGGTTTGGCAGACGGTATCTTGATACCACCACCGGCTTTAAAATGCTGCACCCAGTTCTTCACTGAACACTAACACACACCAACATTCTCCACTATTTCTTTTGTCTGGTGCCCAGCTTTGTGGAGCCCTATGATTTGAGCTATAGTTTCAGGTGTTAAAGACTTCCTTTCACCCATAATCAAACATGTGGTGGATGAGAGAAAAAAGTACAACACACTTCCTGTCACCATGGCAGCCACGTGAGCACTGGGGTCACTGTGGAGTGTGGCGGCAGGCTGTGACGTCATGCTAATGGCTACTACCTGGTATAATGCACCGATGTAAAAAGACCTTCCCTGTATGGTAGGCCTTTGATTTTCGTCACAGCATTATGCAGGGGCGTTCACCCTGCATAAATGCAGGGATGAGCACTGTATGTATGTCACTTTTTAAAAGTTTGGTTTTTATAGAAATTTGGCCATAGCACTGATTACATTTAAGAAAATGTGTCATATATTTTGTGAATATCAATTATTTATTATCACTTATTCTATAGTTTTTAAGTTATATTTGTGAAAATTATGTGTTAAAAATACACTGCTTACCAAAACCAGACATTTAAAATTTATATTATTCACACGAAGCACTGAATACCTATCATCACATGCATAAAAATTTGTAAGTCAACACTCTATTATGACTTTTTGAATGAATTCTAACCATTGCACCAACCATGATTTCAATTTTATGCACACTAACCCTTACTCCCCCTGCCCTCACATTTTCCTACCCCCAGCTGTGTATGACCCATTCATAGTGCACAAAATGATTATATGTTTACAGTATAACATATCAGTGGTTTGTGTGGAATCTCTACAGGGGCTACCTATTTGGTATGAAAATATTCATACTTATTCTGATTGTGTATTTATTTTGTCCTCCAAAGTGTTTTCCTCAACCAAAATGTTTTCATTCTGTTGCAAATTGGAGATCTGCAAAGGATCAGTAGTATATTCATACTACACCACATTTCAAATCTTATTTCATTACTTTCTCTTACCTGTATTTTTGTCTTTTTCATGCTTTTCAACTGCAATTGTTTAACTTCTCTATAATTTTATTAACATTTCCTCATATCCAAATGATCCTAAGGAATTCTTCAACTAGTGTTCCTTTATCTGATAACACTTAATGTTTTAAATGTGTCCAACATACTGCACCTGCCAATATTTTTTACCTTAGCACAACTCTTTAGGTATGCTACAATCTTTCCATGTCTTTGAAAAATCTAAGGCCAAGCAGGTCCACACAGCACATCATGGTTAATTACACAGGTGATGACTGTGTCTGATGTACTAGTGTGCCTAACTAGCACAACTGAACTATGGAACCAGGACCTGTTCCACCACCAGCTTCCCTACCAGCAAACAAGGTGTGGAATTCGCAGGAAGATGACATATTCATTCCCAATTCGTTAGTTTCATTATACATACCAACACTGGAATTCAGCCACAAAACACACTATGTAGATACAACCCAGCATAACCCAATAAAGTCAAACAGTGTGACTCATTTCCATTTCTGACGAGTCTTACACATTGAAACAATTGTAATATTATAAGATTTTCTTGTACATATATGTATTACAGTGGTCTTGAAGGTAAACAGATGTTGTGGACACACAAATTACATTATGTTTATATAGCTCAGATATTCCCTTGAACCTAAATATGTTAACATAATTAACCTAGAATAACCACAAAATGTCCATGTGACTATGAACATAGCCTAAAACTTTCAGTTTTGATTTATAAATGGATCCAATTTAGTAAGTCCTGGGCTTCATATTACAATCTGCAGTAGTTTTTGTACAACTTAATATTATATTTTGTGCAAAATTTGATTGGCATATAGCAATTTTCTTAGGTTTTTAACCAATCAATATAATGTATAATAATGGAATGCCTGAATGTAGATTCAGCTATGTGGTTACTTTATCACAATCCAGGCTTTAAGGCAACACAGGTGTGCATTAAAATTAAGTCAACTCAATTTGTCCCCAAGCTACTTATTAAAGCAACCCACAAATGCCTGGGAAATAAACTACCAGCTGCTGAACACTGTTTTCACTGTGCCACCACAATAGAAAAGCAGCAATGGCACTGTATTTCAAGTGATTCAACCCGTTGCCCAAATGCATTTTGGCTCGGCTATATGTACTAGTATTTCATTGCTTCAGAGGTATTAAAGCAACATTACACTTAGGTAAAGTTGATGGATTTGCCTGGTATTTACCAAATGGATCTTTGCTTACTAATAGGTATAGGCTGCTATAAACAAATAAGTATTTCAGGGACCAATCAATTTTACCTTATTGTAATGTGCACCTGTCTTACTGTACAACCATAGATAAAAAATTCAAAATTATTCCATTAACTCTTCAAATCACATTCTCATCTTTCCCGTGTTTGTCATCCTCACTCAACTTTGTCATCTCTGCAATGTCCTTCGGTCACCAGCACACCATTATGTGATATAAGCAGTTATTTCACCTTATATCCTCAAAATCCGTTGCTCTGAGTTGCCGTACCACCTCACATTCATCACCTTGTCATTATTGGGGAAACTGCTAAACTTTTTCATGTTCTTTGAATGCAGCTTGCAGGATGAGTTCATCAAGAGCCTCTCCCTCACTTTGTCAAGTGCCTTCTTGATACTGATGATGCAGTCTACATATGGGTTTGGTGCTTGTTTTTAATATAATAATAGTAACAATAATATAGGAGTTACAGTGCAGCCTAAACTGCTTGTAGTTCCTTTCGAAAGCAGCAATAACCTATTGGCCTTGCAGTACACATGATGTGTTCAGAGGCACAAACTCTACCATGATGTCATCTGGATGGATAGGAGCATTATCCAGGAGGAGATATTAAAGGGCAATTTCTTTTGTCAGCTATTTTTCCACTGCAAGTAGAAAGCCACTGTGAAACTAGCCTCATAAAATGGTTTTGCTGAATTGCACTCTCCTACCTGTTCTCCAAAATGTGAGCAATAGCCCATATTTGCCTTATAAATACAATGGAGTTGAAGTGGCAGCAAAGTCGCATGGATTTCATAATGCAGTTCAAAATTTATTTCAGTGCATTGTGAGGCTATGCTGACCTAAATATTTTGCAAAATTAGAGCAAGAACTTGAGATATATATATATATATCCAAAGAAGAAGAAAAATGAGAGATTTTTCAGCCTGAGCTGGGAGGCTTCAGTAGGGGTATAAGGTCAATACAGTAATAGTCACATTTGCAGGTGCAGGATGAATCAACATATTTAGTACACAAGCCTAAAAAATTGCAAGCAAAGCAAAAAGGGCAAATATGCACAGACATTCCTGTATCAGCTATGATACACCTCCACAATCCCCTGGCTGTGGTTACACTAGTCATGGTTTATGAAATACTAAGGGTTATAAATTTATACAATACAGCCTCTCCTCACTTAGCAACATATTCATTTACCGACGACTCAGACTAACGACTGGCTTTCTGACCAGTATGCATACCTAAATAATGTACATAAGAGCTAATTTCTTTTATTCTGTTTACTACAATGTACAGTATACTACTGTATATTTAAAAATATACCAGAAATGTTATAAATGGTGCAAAGGTGGCATTAAAACAATATCAAAGATGGTTGACACAACCCACTACCATTAGAGTATGCTCCTCACTTAGCAATGAATCCATTTACTGACGTGTTTTTAAGAATGGAACTCTGTCGTTAATATCTGTACATTACGTTTTATCTTGATGTCCTTCACTCAACACCTCCACTCTCACCTTCTATCATCTTCACATCTGCCATGTAGCAATGAATGACCCTTAGAGGTTCAGCACTTTCCATGAATATAACAATACAGTTCTAATTTTGTGAGATATACATGTATGAATGACCTGTACATGTTAAATTATTTTGAGATGAAAAATTTAATGTACGTATTACTAAAATTTGTTAATTTAGAATCCTCAATTAAATGCACAGCAGAAATTACTGCAAGTTATAGTATGCAATATCACCATAGTGAGTTAAATGCTTGCTCGACCACATGAAAGCGATCAAGTACTGGACTCACAGAACTGTTTACAGGGATCGAGTCTCAGCTCACAGCCCAGTGTGTGTGCGTGCGTGTGTGCATGCATATGTGTGTGTGTGTGCATGTGTGAGTGTGTGTGGGCTATTATTTATACTATTATATATGTAAAGGAATTTTCTTGTTAGTATAAGCCTGGAATGTAGACCCTTTAACTGCAAAATTTAATTTATGTTCAATGTCTCGGCCCATTAAATTTATCATATATATTTAATGTACACATTTGCATATGTCATATACTGTCATATATCATATACATCCATACAGTATTCAGTGTCTTTACAAATATATTCACACAATTATATATTATCGGGTAATGTTTCTAAATATAGAACTCGTGAATTTATTTTAATATATTATGTAGTCTATGATTTTGTAACTAAAGTGTTTGGAAACCAAAGAAAATTTATTAAATTTTGCTGGGATGTTTAAACCGAATTCATTATATGATGATTACATACAATGAACTTTGTTGGATGAAAATACGAAATTTGAGGTACATATACACTGCAAGAAAAATTAAATTCTGTTGTTTCATAGTTTTGCTACAACTATAATTACTACATTCACATGAAGGACTTAAATACTGTATGTTGTAATAGTTTCAACCAAATATCAGTAGTACACCTTTTAGCATAAAAAAATATTAGTTACTCTACTTCCAATGTCACTAAATATATATTTGACCTTTTTTTTATCGTTACTGAAAACAGTCAAGCAATGACATGATGCTTACTCCAAATTTTATAAATGAGGTTTATGGTGTGTGTATTGATCAGTAAGTATTGTGACTTATTGAAGGGTACATAAAAAATAAAATTGAGAGATTAAGGCTCTTACCTGCAGAATATTCTTCATAATGTTATGATGCACATTTCTGAGTTGCTTCCATATCTGTTTAACATATCATTCCCATACAGTTGCTCTCCCTGATATAATGGGGAAAAAAAATGTTAATCTCCTAATATATGGAGATACTCTGCTTGTGTTATATTACATGTAGTGTACTTGGAAAGTAAGATATGGCTTGCACAGTGTAGAAGAGTTAATTTTCATGGTACATCTGAGTTTGTATTGTATCCTTAATGGAGAGTATATACACCGAGAGATTTATATCTTTTGGTGTACATACAGAGGTTAGCCATTATCTTCGTTTTAGGAAATAAAGTTTATTTGACTAGTAATGTGCTGGTGAAATACAGTCTTAATGACCCTTGTGTAGTTGATAGGCTTTAAACCTAACACATATTAAAAAAATTAATGTCACAATGAAAAAACTTAAGGCATTGACAGAAATGCTAATTATATGCTGTTTAATAAATGTAAAATTATGCAGGGTATTCAGTATCATTTTAAAAAAGAAACAAAAAGGGTTTCTTATGACTAATATCAGATTTAATCCGACTTGGTGTACTAAGCAGTATGCAATAATTCCTCTTATTATGTTGTTTATATATAAATCAGAATTGTGTATTACTTATATTTATGAATATGTGAGAACGTGCAGGCAGAGGTAGAGTGGTAGGTGGGGGGGGGGTGCATATATGCGAGTACACTTGTGTTTTTTTTTTTTTTGGCCCTTATTTAATATATGATTGATTTATAGTCACATATGTATCTGCATGAATGTATGAGTGTCTGTGTATGTATTCAATTAAAAAAGTACATGTTTATAATACATACAAATCAGTATTTATATAAATACACGCACAGGCTTTTATACTCAAGTATTCAGATAATTTTACAAATGCAGAACATGCATGATAATGCATAAATGTCATTTTGATTAAGTTGTACGATGTGCATTTCTCGATTTAAACCAAAATTGTTCTGATATCTGAGACACTTGGCTATTTGCATTCCAGACTTTCTAGGGCCGTCTCTTGAAAACACTGAGCAATCAATATACATGTATTTTTCTAGTACTGTTTGTTCCTTTGAGTCTTAGATGGAGGACACTTGAAGAACAACCTCAAGTCATATTATCTGCTGGTGGATATTTTACTTACAGTAGTTCAGGTTCGACAAAATTAATTTTATATTACTAAGTTTTGTGTTCATTGAGAAAATAGGTATTAATTTACATTTTTAATTACAGTATGCAATAGTGTGATCAAACACAATAATACATTATTAATTGTATATTTTGTAAATTACAGCATATTGCTCAATTTGTAACTGAAAAAAATATTTGATTGTTCATTTTCCCCCATTAATAAATCAACTAAGACTGAAATTGTTTTTCAATTGCATCCTACAAAAGTATAATTTTTTGTTAAGGAAAACTGCCCTTTAAAATCACATTTTTTTATACTGATTAAGAAAATGTTTACCTGGAGAGAGTTCCGGGGGTCAACGCCCCCGTGGCCCGGTCTGCGACCAGGCCTCATGGTGGATCAGAGCCTGATCAACCAGGCTGTTATTGCTGGCTGCACACAACTCAACGTACAAGCCACAGCCCGGCTGGTCAGGGACCAACTTTAGGTGCTTGTCCAGTGCCAGCTTGAAGACAGCCAGGGATCTATTGGTAATCCCCCTTATGTATGCTGGGAGGCAGTTGAACAGTCCTGGGGCCCCTGACACATTGTGTTGTCTCTTAACGTGCTAGTGACACCCCTGCTTTTCATTGGGGGGATGTTTCATCGTCTGCCAAGTCTTTTGCTTTCGTTGTGAGTGAGTTTCGTGTGCAAGTTCGGTACTAGTCCCTCTAGGATTTTCCAGGTGTATATAATCATGTATCTCTCCCGCCTGCGTTCCAGGGAGTACAGGTTCAGGAACTTCAAGCGCTGAAAGAGGAAAAAAAAAAAAAAAAAGATAAATTTGAGCATATTACAAAACTCTTTTTTTTTTCCGCCCCCTTGAATTTCATAAATGTCTGGTGCCCCTATGGGAGCATGGGAATGAAAATTTATTAGAATATTTTTTTTCATAAAAACTGTTGTAACTTTTTTCACTAAGGTGTTTGAGGAGGTAGATCATGGTAATGAATATGATATTGTGTATATGGACTTCAGTAAGGTTTTCGATAGAGTTCCACACCAGAGGCTATTGAGGAAACTTAAGGCACACGGAATAGGAGAAATTTTTTCCTTGGTAGAGGCATGGCTGACAAATAGGCAGCAGAGAGTTTGCATAAATGGGGAGAAATCAGAATGGGGGTACGTCACAAGCGGTGTTCCTCAGGGGTCAGTGTTGGGACCGTTGTTGTTCACAATTTACATAAACGACATAGATGAGGGAATAAATAGTGACAAGCAAATTTGCTGATGACACCAAAATAGGCCGTCCAATTCATTCTAATGAGGACACTAGAGCACTTCAGGATGATTTGAGTAGACTGATGCAATGGTCGGAGAAGTGGCAGATGCAGTTTAATATTGACAAATGCAAAGTTCTAAATGTTGGACAGGTAAATAACCATGCCACATATAAACTAAATAATGTAGATCTTAATACTACTGATTGCAAAAAGGATTTAGGAGTTCTGGTTAGCAGTAATCTAAAACCAAGACAACAGTGCATTTGTGTTTGCAATAAAGCTAACAGAATTCTTGGCTTCATATCTAGAAGTATAAATAATAGAATTCCTTAGGTTGTTCTTCAACTCTATATATCCTTGGTTAGGCCTCATTTAGACTATGCTGCTCAGTTCTGGTCACCGTATTACAGAATGGATATACAGTAGAACCTCAAATATCGAATTTTCTTCGGTCCAGAAGGCTGTTCGAGTGCCTTTACCGAATGAATTTATTCCCATCAGGAATAATGTAAATTAGATTAGTCCATTTCAGACCCTCAAAAATACACTTATAAAAGCACTTACAAAAATACATTTACATAATTGGTCATGTTGGGAGCAGTTCGATTTTTGAGGTTCCACTGTAAATGCTCTGGAAAACGTACAGAGGAGGATGACAAAGATGATCCCATGTATCAGAAATCTTCCCTATCAGGATAGACTGAGGACCCTGAATCTGCACTCTCTCGAAAGGCGTAGAATATTAGGGGGGATATGATCGAGGTGTATAAATGGAAAACAGGAATAAATAAAGGGGATGTAAATAGCGTGTTGAAAATTTCCAGCCAAGACAGGACTCGCAGCAATGGTTTCAGGTTGGAAAAATTCAGATTCAGGAAGAATATAGGAAAACACTGGTTTAGTAATAGAGTTGTGGATGAGTGGAACAAACTCCCGAGTACCGTTATTCAGGCTAAAACATTGTGTAGTTTTAAAAATAGGTTAGATAAATACACGAGTGGGTGTGGGTGGGTGCGAGTTGGACCTGACTAGCTTGTGCTGCTAGGTCTGTGCCGTGCTCCTTCCTTGAGTGGAGGTGGCCAGACTGGGTGGGTCATTGGGCTAATCCGGGGGGACACATGGACCTGCTCCGCATGGGTCAGTAGACCTGTTGCAGTGTTCCTTCTTTCTTATGTTCTTATGTTCTTACAATATTGGGGCTCTATATTTTAAATATAATTTCACGTCTTTCTTATGTCTAATGGTTTTCATAACTAATAACCATAAAACAATGTCTATAATAACTAATAAAATAATGTCTAACAACTAATAAAACAATGCCTAACAATTAATAAATCAATGTCTAACAATAAAACAATGTCAAACAACTAATAAAACAAACAATGTCAAACAACTAATAAAACAAACAATGTCAAACAACTAATAAAACAAACAATGTCAAACAACTAATAAAACAAACAATGTCAAACAACTAATAAAACAATGTCAAACAACTAATAAAACAATGTCAAACAACTAATAAAACAAACAATGTCAAACAACTAATAAAACAATGTCTAACAACTAATAAAGCAATGTCTAACAATAAAACAATGTTTACCTGGAGTTTACCTGGAGAGAGTTCCGGGGGTCAACGCCCCCGCGGCCCGGTCTGTGACCAGGCCTCCTGGTGGATCAGAGCCTGATCAACCAGGCTGTTACTGCTGGCTGCACGCAAACCAACGTACGTGTTTAACTAATAAAACAATGTCTAACTAATAAAACAATGTCTAACTAATAAAACAATGTCTAACTAATAAAACAATGTCTAATAAAAAAATGTCTAACAATTAAACAGTGTCTAACAACTAACAAAACAATGTTTAACAACTAATAAAACAATGTCTAACAACTAATGAAACAATGTCTAATAAAAAATGTCTAACAATAAAACAATGTCTAACAACTAATAAACAATGTCTAACAACAAAACAATGTCTAACAACTAATAAAGCAATGTCATACTAATAAAACAATGTATAACTAATAAAAAATATCTAACAACTAATAAAAAACATCTAACAACTAATAAAACTGTCTAATAAAACAATGTCTAATAAAACAATGTCTAATAAACACAATGTCTAATAAAACAATGTCTAACAATAAAACAATGTCTAACAACCAATAAAACAAAGTCCAACAGTAAAACAATGTCTAAACCAATAAAACAATGTCTCTTAATAACTAATAAAAGAAATGGGGACAGGAGTCCCATTTGTAAACATAAATAGAAACTATAAGTTGCCAGATAGATCACTTAGTCTTCCCTCAACAACCTCCAGCAGACACCTACTTCCTCACCTGAGTTCAACAAGTGGTTTACTTGGGGGAGGTTTTAGGGGTCAGTGCCCCCGCGACCCGGCCTGTGACCAGGCTTCCCACCAAAAGTATTACAGAATTATCGCACAGCAGAAAATGGAATTGATGAAAGGTGCCCTTCCTGTAACCTGCCCAGTGGGCAAAGGAAGATACTAAATTTATTTAGGCACAGGTACACACAAGTACAACTATCATATATAGTGTAATTACCTGGGATAACCTCAAAAAAAGCCAGTGACTTATTTATTCCTTACTGTATTGTGCACAAAAACTAAACGAATTACTGTAATTGTAAAATACGAAATTACAAATATTCCTTTCTAGTGATGTAACAATGGTCATTAGAGTTTGAGAAAGACTCATTAAGACCTCTGTAATCCTGTTACTTGCACTACCTCATAGGATGAACTACAAAGCACAATAAACTAGCCACTCAAGCGACACAACTATAATAACAATAATCTTCAAAATTAATAAATTAATAAATAAATCTTTATTTCTGCAAGTACATAGTTATCTGTTTACAATAATGTTTTATCACTGATTTCATCATTGCTTAGTTAATCTTAAGTTAATTTTAAGCCAGCCCGTAATGCTATGCATATAAGTAGCTTTGGCATGCAGCTCTTACCTGTATTTTTTGTACCTCTGTTTGTATGCTTAAATTACTAAATAAATAAATAAATAAATAAATACAGTTTATACAGACCATAGCTGACATCAATGACATACCTATTTAGAAAGACCCTTGTTATGCACAGCATTTCGGGCAAATTAGGTCCTTGTCCCAGGATGCGACCCACACCAGTCGACTAACACCCAGGTACCCATTCTAATGTTTCTACCCTCGCTGGGAATCGAACCCAGACCCTCGCCGTGTGAAGCCAGAGCTTTAACGATCAGGCAACTGAAGCCTTACAATGTCTCTGTAGTACAATACAACTTTTTTTTTTTGAAGTATACAAAATGTAGTTTACATTTAATAAGATACTGTTACACACATTATTATTATTATAATAAAAAGAAGCGCTAAATCCACACGGGTCATACAGCGCCACTTTCAAGCACAAAACAAAGTCACCGGCATGCAGTGCATTTCGGGTAGTAAATTTTAGGCATATTATTATTATTATTATTATTATTACTATTATTATCGTAACTAAGTGCTAAACCCACAAGAGTCAGAGAGCAGTGCTTATTTAGGCACAAGTACACGTAAGTACAATTATCATACATAGCGTAAATTACCCAAGGTAACCCAAAACGAGTCAAAATGACTATTTCCATTGGGAACTTCACTTCTAACAATAATATTACCCAAATTGTTGTTGCTGGGGGCTCTGTGGATCACTTAAGCTTATAAATCATTATAATTACATTCATAAGTAGAGCTAAACCCACTAAGGTCATACAGCGCTGTTGTTGGATATATTTAGTTTATGCCTAAGTCACCCCTTTCTTCATCCCTGGAGTATATACCTGGAGACAGTTTCAGGGGTCAACGCCCCCGCGGCCCGGTCTGAGACCAGGTACAAATACGAATCTTTATTTAAAAATTACGTATAAATACAATACTTTCAACGCCCATAAAATTCATAGCATTTCGAGAGAAATACTCGTATTGCTCACAACTAACAAAAATATAGGCAGGAGAGAGAGAGAGAGAGAGAGAGAGAGAGAGAGAGAGAGAGAGAGAGAGAGAGAGAGAGAGAGAGAGAGAGAGAGAGAGAGAGAGAGAGAGAGAGAGAGAGAGAGATATGGGAAAAATACATTCTCACTTAGGTCAGATAGACCCCAGGTCAGACGCTTCACTTCCTGATCCATCACTCACTGTCATTATTCAAATCTGGGCGAGAATGGGAAATGAAAGTTTCCTTCGATAAGAGAAACTGGAACAAATACCCAACCTTGATTAGCTAAGTAGACGCTAGAGATAAAAGTGATAATTTTTTCCCTCTTCTTGTTAGTAAGTTTATTCAGGTACACATAAATACAGTTACACAAATTATCATACATAGTAACATGTGTAAATTACCTGACCCAAAAAAGTCAGACCTGCCCAACCGGGCTGTACGTCAGCTAGCGTGCGGCCAGCAGTAACAGCCTGGTTGAGCAGACCCTGATCCACCATGAGGCCTGGTCTCAGACTGGGTCGCGGGGGCG